ATGATCGTTTTCGACATCTTCAAGTTCGACAAGTGGCCCACGCGGCGTACCGCGGTTGCACCAATTGTCCGAAATAATTGTTGAGGTTCGGGGAGCACAAGTGTGTGACACAGTTCGCAGAAAATAACCTGCCAAAGCACAAAAACTTAAGAAAGACCACCGAACAAACGGATTCAACTTTGCAAGTGAACATTGCTTTTGAGAGAAGAATTGTTGTGATTTAGATTGATGGGAGGCAACGAATATGGAGTCGTCAAGAAGAGTCTTTCTTCTATCTATTTTGTAAATACAGTGGGATAATGTGGCAGTTTAAATATGGTGTTGGAAGAGATATGTTTAAGACGGATAAGAGGTATAATACGGATATTATAGACGAACGCGACATTATAGCAGAAGTTCTTTTGTTTGAATTTTACGATATTTGGAAACAAAAACTTCAAACTTGTACTATTCTTATCCTTTAAACGAGCAATTCTTGTATATATATATATATATATATATATATATATATATATATATATACATATAATCGGAATCTCGGAAACGGCTCCAGCGATTTTCATGAAATTTAGTATGTGCGTAGATTGGGGGGCAAAAAATCGATCTAGCTAGCTAGGTATCATTTTTAGAAAATGCCCTTTTATCCCTGTTTTCAGGGAATGAAAAATATAATTCGAATATGACGGTAAATTTCGCCGCAAGAGAAAATGTCATAATAGCTCGGTCGGTAATCGGGCGGCCCCAAAACAGACGGCCGTGGTTCGCGTCACGATCATTTACTCATTTATTTTTAACTTTTTTTTCGATCCCAGATCATTGCTTTCTTTATTTTTAATTTTTTTGTTATTTTTTTCCCTTTTTTTTAAAGTTCTTTCTTTTGTGAAAAACATCAGTTCATATTTTCTTATTATTACGTCGGTAAGATCGAAAAATATTATGCATATTTCATTACTCAGTAATTTGTATCTAAATGTAATTTCCAAAATACACGAGTTACCAAAAAAAAAAAAACAAACCGAGCAAAGCTCGGTCTTCCGGGTACTTTATAATTAAACTAGCTGACTCGGCAAACGTTGTTTTGCCATATAAATGATTTGTAGGGCAGAAAGAAATGTTTTGGGTGGACCACCATTAACATTTAGGGGGGATGAAAAATAAATGTTGTCCGATTCTCCACCCTGGCCGATATGCACATAAAATTTCTCGAAAATCGGTCGAGCCGTTTCGAGGAGTTCAAACACCGTGACACGAGAATTTTATATATTAGATTAAGAGTATGTATACGGTACACCTACACTAAAAGTACGGCTTTCCTGTCAAAACGCTATACTGACTAAACTGGTATTTTGTCTCATGTATGTAGGATTAATCGATGACCTTTAGGTCCAGTATGTAAGTACCTATACTAGACCTTTTGCTGACCCCGATTTGTGTTACGGCTTGTTCATTATATCAATGAAAGCTGTTAAGACGTTTATCGTCGCACCATTTGTTGAAATGTCAGTGTTTAAGAAGTTTCAGTTAATCCCAACAAGCGTGTTACTTGACAAGAACCTGTTTGCAGCGAACCCTTAAAGAAAAGTGTCATAAGGGATCTGTACAAAACATATACGAAAAGTTATCAGCCGTTGCGGGAACCTACAAATTTTAAAAGTTTGATCTTAAGTGCGGAGATTGACACTATAAAAATGAAATTCAAATAGCAATGGCGACATTTCTCGTTAGAATTATCGTTGTAAAAATATATTTGAAATTGCTTGTATGCTGCAAAGGATGTAACGATAGATAAGTCGGGTGTTGCTTAAAATGCGAAAAAACAATGTAAAATACTTTGAGATTGTTGTTGGCAATCAGCCGTTTAGCTTAGTGGGTGCGATTCATGCAACGGCAAAACACTTCGTGAGAGTCAATTTCCCATCGCTAAATTACATAAATGTTTATAGCTACGATTTCCAAAGTTATCTAAGCGATCGTGAACGTATTATCCGGTGACTGTACAATAGGTCGTTGTGTCATGTTACGTCTTTCGCGCCATAAGACGTTTGTCGTTTCAATCAGCATTGTTGCCATCAGTGGTGTTATTGTAGGCTCCTAATGGCCAGAGGGCTTTCACTTGCGTCAAGCGTGCGAGCGAAAGTCACCACTAACCACATCAGGGCCTTACGCAAGCTATGGTTATCACTTATCATTATACTACAATTTATACCTGATGATAAGAGTACTCTGCTATTGACTGCTATTGACGCGAGTGCTTCGTAACAATTAGCTGTATACCCAAACTTACATCTATAGAATTTTTTTAGGGTTTCGTACCAAATGGTAAAACATGACTCCGTTGTCTGTGTGTCTGTCCGTCTGTCGCCAGGCTGTATCTCATAAACCGTGATAGTTAGAGGGTTGATATTTCGTTGTCGCAATGGTGTATTTCTGTTGCCGCTGTAACAACAAACACTAAAAAACAACATAAAAAAATATTTAAGTGGAGTCCCATGAACAGACATGTTTTTCTGCCGTTTTATAGATAATGGCACGGAACCCTTCGTGCGCGAGTCCGACTCGCACTTGGCTGTTTTTTTTAATCTTTAATCAACTGAACTCTATTGCAGTTACAATGAGGTCAATAAATTAACGGCTAGTGGTCCAGAGCACTTTTGTGATCCCCATGGACATTCGAAACCTAGTAGGATTGCAGATAAGTTGCCACCTTTTAACAAAGTGGGCCCCGGCTACCTCACTCAACAGAGGAAACGCAGAAGTATAATTGTGAGGTCGTGGTACTTCCCCGGACAAACCTGCCAATACGTGCAAGAGCGAAAACTATTCCGCAACCCCACCACGGTTAGTAAATTATCTTTACAAAATTTATCGTGAGGACGGGAGGAATAAAAAGGTGTACCAGGATTTAAAATGTATAAAGCTTGTTCTTTTTTTAAACAAAAACTCTATTCCCACGGGCTCGTCATTTCATTCTAAATTAAATAAAATTAAATCGAATAAAAAACAAGGTCTTTAAACTTGTTATTTTTCGTCGTCGAGTATTACATCAGCTTAATAGCAAAAACTAACGAGACTACTCGAGTTTTCGGATAGAAATGCAACGGTGAGACATAAAAATCGCTGACGCAACCGATTGCATCCCATTCTCGAGACGCTGCAGCTGAGCGAATTTTGCTAACATCAACGCTGAATGTTGCCAGACGCAGCCAGTGACCAACTCGCGGCTTTGACCTTGCATTGATGTGGTCACGCAAAAAGTGAAACGCTACGGTGAGATTGCGGTCGGCACTGGGTGTTTTTTGTTGACCTGCGGTTCGACAAGCTTATTGATCCGCCTTAAATGAGAGCATGCGATTTACTTGTGAGCCCTTTGGACGGAATAACGCGTTGCTGTGTGGATTTTGATAACATTTTGACTAAATATCGGTGTCGTGCCTCGAATGTAACTTACATTGGCATCGTGGATATGACAATAGCTATCTCTCCTTCGTCCTGTTGTGCTAAGAAAGACGCGTTCTTATGCTAAGGGAGTAGATTTAAATCCAATGTGTTCTAAGAGAATAAACTGAAATCATTGGAGATTTTAGCTCGTATGTGACGAAGAAAATCAACAATCAACAGTCATCAAATCCGCCAAGCGGGTGTTGTAATTTTGGATTTTTATTGAACCGTAAACGGAGTCAAGGGCGTATTTGCATATATACAAGACGTATGTTCATAATGTTTGTTAGATACACTTATTTGGCAATAAAAAAATATTTTAAACACGTTTATATTATAAGTTTTTTGTTTTGCTAAGGTGCAAGTTTCTAAAAGACGACAGTTATATTCCGTTCTTCGTAACAATTTCCTTTCATTGTTATATATGTTATAATAGTGACTGTTAATAGAAAGAGTAGTAGCAAATTTCCGTTCGTTTTGCTTGCATACAAAAATCACTGCCTCTTCGGCGGGAAACTTACCGTTTCTTTTTGGACTCTCTGAAATGATGTTAGCTCCAATAGTCTTTCTGCCTCATCAGATATTAAATACTAAGCATTGATCTAAAATGAGGACTCGCGAATTACAGCGACTTGACCGCTGGGTTAATTGGTATACATATTTGATTGGATTGAATAACTAACTAATATATACCGCACATGGTTTGCCGCAACTGTTACTGACATGGCAACCATAATCGCGGCTCTAACGACCACAATTCGTTAACGTATTTCGCAATCAGCGGAAAATGTTGCTCCGCAAGCTCATGGCACCGCCCACTAGCGAGAGTGGACCTTACAAAATTACAAAAGTAACAAACAACTACATAAAGGTACAATTGGCGGCCTTATCGCTTAGAAGCGATTTCTTCCAGGCAACCATGTTACTGAGGATACAATGATCAGTGAGAAGAGTTTGAGGTAGCGTATACCTCAAACTCTTCTCACTTGTAAATATAGGTATTATAGATACATGTACACAACACTACTATACACAAATAAATGAATAAAATAAATATATATTAAAACGACGATTAAAAGCTATAAAATTTTTACAGATATAAAACTGCTACATGCACACCGCATTGATTTTAATATGAAAAACTACCTAACGAGCAGGCGGTTTTTTTTTGTGAAAAGTTGCCAAGCGAACAGACGGTTCACCTGATGTTAAGTGAATACCGCCGCCCATGGACATCTGCTACACCCGAGGGTACCAGATGCGTTGACAACCTTTTGAAAATTGGACTCCGGCAACCTCACTCACCTGACGAAACGCGAAAGTAGTATACTTCCACTTTACGCCGGTCTTCTGTGAGGTCGTGGTACTTACCCGGACGAGCCTGCCAATTCGTGCAACAGCCGTAGATGCCACGTGGCCCTACCACCATTCTCCAGATATTAAGTGAATACCGCCGACTATAAACATCCTCAGAGTCTTTTTTAGCGAATGCTAAGTCAAACTATAGTCTACGTAAGGGTTTAAAGTAAGTTTTCATTGGGGGAAAATTTGCCTTAGTCGCCATGCTTGGCTGGGTTGGTGGCAGCAGTTGCTGGAATCCTTCTCTGACGGCGCAATGGACTGACGATTTAAGAACGGTGGCGGCTAGCGGATGGCTGGCGAACTTTGGGGGAGGCTTACGTTCAGCAGTGGACGGCGATAGGCTGATATTATATTGTACTAGTTGCTGCCCGCGACTAAGTCTGCATAAAATAGGCTGAAGGCGTAACATTCAGAAAGAAAGACAGATATACATTAAATATGTACATAAATTATAGCCTATGTCTTATTCTGATGTATAAGCTATATTATTGTAAAGTTTCATTAAAATCCATTCAGTAGTATTTGCGTGAAAGAGTGACAAACATCCATCCACACATACAAACGTTCGCGTTTATAAGTAAGGATTGTATAAATATCCTCGCCGTCCGAACAGCTGCAGACACTTTGCCAACCTTTAAAAACGTGGCCTGGCTACCTCACTCGGCGGAGGAAACGCGAAGGTAGATTTCCACTTAGCGCCCGTCATGTGACAGAGATTCCAGATTTTGTTCTACGGAACATGTATGCTTGACCGCGGGCGCCGTGGCATAATTCTATATACAACCAAGGAAGTTTAAATTTTCGCGTCACGACACCACTCCAGTCAACCTACCTCTGTGAATTGGGGAGGTGCTGAACTAAACTATCATCATCATGATGTGGTCCATCGCCTATTTTTTTCAGCACAATTGTGCGCGTTAACTTTCAAGTCATTCTTTGCTAACATATCTTGTTAAACATGCGGGAAATGCATTGTATTGAAGTCTTAAAACTATTCTAGTTTCAGGCGACATTTAAAGTCGTAAAAAAACACCGAACAGAAACCATTTATGGAGTGGCGTGAAGACAGATTTAAAATTGAAATATTCGCATTTTTACGACGGTCCTATTGGCGTAGTGGAAAGTCGACCTTGTTAGAGGTTTTGGGTTCAATCCCCACTCTTTTGATACTAGATGACGCTGTGTGAAACATATCCTGAAATATTTATTTATTCATTTATTATTTCTTATTGATTGTAAATACTTGTATCCCAAAATGGTCAATGTTTCGTGCAAAAAAACTCAACTTGGCAAAACTCTCTGCTTGACATGGTATATATATACTCAAGCTCAACCACGACATTTCGTAACTGTTTGTGCCAAATTGGTGTTGGGAAAGATCTGGCCGGTTCTGTTTGCTTTATGCGATACAATTGAACGTTCGGCAACATGTCAATTTGTTACGCAACGAATGCACTCAGGATTACTCATTCATGTGTAATATTTTTTACGTTTCGTATTTTTTTTATCCCCTATGTACCTCAAACTACCCAAACTTGGCTTGTTACTTGAAGACGTCAGGAGCAGTAATATCTTCCTATTCACCAGATTTATTACGGGCAAATTCTCAATAAAAATTATTAACACAGTTACTATGATTACCATCCCGGCTAAGAGTAAGCAGTGATGAAGTCTCAGGTAGTATATGCACTAGGCCAGTAAAATCCTATTCAATCAGGATCGAAATCCAGACAATCTAAAAGCATTGTGGATAATATTATCAATATGTATAAATATGCCTTTGCCCTGTAGTGGGCTGTAGGCTGTAAATTTAACTTTAATTTTTTTATTGTCAGTCCCTGCATTTAAGGTGAAAATCAAAATGAGAATTTATTTCTCTGTTAATTTAATATAAAAACATGATATCTATAATCTCTCCCTTCGCTTGTCTTTAGTTTTCATTTGTCAAACCATTTACTTATAGCTGACACATTACAATAGAAATATTTATAGTTTAACATCATCCCAACTAACTTCATGGTGTTAATTTCATATCGCTTTGCGGACGCATCGTAAAAATTCACCCTCATAATTTTTTCTCAAACGCGCATAAAGTGGTGTCACTTCTAAAACTATGCCTTTGACTTCGTATTTGTAACAGTTCTAAGTGCTGATCGCTAAAGGAATTTCTTGGAAGCTTGCTTGGAGCAATAACCGCAGATGCTGTGAAGGATTTCCACGTATTCTTTGGTGAAGACAAACATTTCGGCTTTCAGCTGTGACCGGCAGCACCGACGGCATCGGGAAGGAGTATGCAATGGAGCTGGCACAGCGTGGCCTGAACATCGTCCTGATAAGTAGAAATGAAGAGAAGCTGAAGAACGTGGCCCGAGAGATAGGTAAGAACGAAGACGTTTTCTCTTATATTTCTAGTGTCAAAACCTTCAATTATTACGATTAAAAAGTTTTTTTTAATTGTGAAAAGTGGCAAACGTACTGGCGGTTCACTGATGCTGAGTGAAAACCGCCGCCCATGGACATTTGCAACACACGTAGGGTTGTAAATGCGTTACGACCTTTAAATTAAGTAGGCCCAGGCTACCTCATTCACCAGGCGGAATGCAGAAGTGTAACACATCTACTTTACGCCGGTCTTCTGTGAGGTCTTCTTCTGCGTGTACTTACACGAACGGACCTGCTCATTCGTGCAACAGTGAACACTGTTGCGTGGCCCTACCACAGTCAGATTAAAAAGTCAACGATAGTCTTTAACTACTATTTATTATCTATGGATACGGAACGCAGTCTTTACACACGGGTCAGCCAAGTGCCACTTTGTTCGGCCAAGGCGATTCAGATAGGAACATCAAAACAAACGATGTTTTGTCGATGTTACATTTACTACGATGTATAAAAAAAATCATAGCCAGTATATGTAGTATATACTGGCTATGATTATCATAGCCATCATATGTATAGTAATAAAAAAGTATAGTTTTATTTCTTGAACATGAATTTTAATTGAATTTGTTCCGTAGTTTCAACATGAGCCGTGGTTGCAACATATTTGGAACATTAAGCGCAAAAGTGATAACGATCAAGTAAGACACGAAGCTACTGTTAAGTAAGAACTTCGCGAAAACTGTTCGTCACTACATAGTATGAAATAAAGTCGTCCCGCTGTCTGTCTGTCCCTATGTATGCTCAGATCTTTAAAGCTACGCAACGGATTTTGATGTGGTTTCTTTAATATAGGTATTTATATAGGTACTTTCTTATATATAGAGTGATTTAAGAGGAAGGTTTATATGTATAATACAATACCCGTGCGAAGCCGGGGTGGGTCGCTATTTGTGAATAAGACTATTTTACATATTTTATCTGGCAGTCACTCCTGTGACCATGAGTTTAGTAAAACGCACAAAACGTTTAGAACAAATTAAACGTGAATCCTTGAAATAGTTGATCTAAAATAATATGTAGTTTTTATGTAAGCAATATTGAGCAAGAAACCTTACACATCATAAGATACATAAAAAAAAAGTAAAGTAACAGCCTATACATGTCCCACTGCTGGGCAAAGGCCTCCTCTATATAGAGGGTATCAGGGCATAGTCCACCACGCGGCCCCACTGCGGGTTGGCGGACTTCACATATCTTCGAAATATTTTTTTTTGTTATTATTTCGACAATATGCAGGTTTCCTCACGATGTTTTCCTTCACCGCGGAGCACGTGATAAGTCAGCACTTAAAGTTAAAAACTTCATTGGTGCCGGCACCGGGGATCGAACTCAGGTTGCTCGAGTATATTGAATTAAAGGCGAGCGCCCGGACACAGAGCTATCACGGCTCGTGATAGCTCTGTGTCCTGTAGATACATAAAATCTACAAAATTTTAATATGTTTACATCTACTTTGAAGACAAAATATTAAAAAAATGAAATCTCGCAACACTATAAAATCTCGCAACTCAGTTATTTTTCTTGTCATTTAATTTTGTTTTACTTAATATGCAAGGCTCAAGGTCTGTCTCGACAGACTACGTCAACTGGTATTCAGGTTAACCCCTGGCGCTGACTTAGCCAATATTTTATATGTAAACTAATCACAAACATGAAATGAATAAATTATAATTTTATATCCTTTTATTTGAACAATTCAACTAAGTCTGCTAAATCATTTTAAAATAACATCCTCTATTTGTTCGATTTAGCGTGAATATTTGCAAGGCAAACAACAAACAAAGAAATATGTGTTTGAATACGTTTACTTGTCCTTCTTTCTTAAAGACAAAGTAGTTATTTGCGGTGGTAGCTTTGGTGTAGTATATTGTTAAACTCGTCTGATCCCAGGACGTCAACATAGTACTATACTTCTCTATTTCTGGGTCATATACCTTATGATAGTGTGCAGCCTGATGTAACACACATTGCATTGTTGTTATTTATCTAATTTACTTACGTAGACTATGTATTTCTTAGCGCTCGAAAATAACTTTCTTACATTCCACCCGAGATTAATGATTCCACTAATGGTGGTTTTTGTTTGTGATAAACGACGAAATAAGCCATAGTGGAAAAACATACAAGTGAAGAAATATTATATGATGAAAATTTTATGGACATATAAGTCTGTCATTTTCCAGCGATGACATGTCGGTCTTAAATACGTTATAGGTATCTCATATGTGTTTTTATATACTGTTTATATATGTGTTATATGTTATTATTAATGTATCACATGGTTTATGGACCCGAAATTTATAGTCTTTGAAATGTGGAATTTATGGTATAGTAACGCCGCAGTCTATTTTATGGACCCTATAGTCTTCACCTCTACATCAAAGTACCAGATAGGCTCGTAAACACCATCCGGGCCTTTTTGTTGAATCGCTCTTTTCGGTATCGAGTCGAGGGCACCCTCTCCACAAGCCGCCGCCTCACGGCCGGCGTACCACAAGGCTCCTGCCTCTCACCTTTGCTCTTTACGCTCTACACGAGCGACATACCCAAAGACCCCCACGTCAATCTCGCGCTTTTCGCGGATGACACCGCGTTCTTTTATTCCGACCGCAACCTTAGAATACTAACCACTAGACTCCAAAGCGCCGCCGACCGCCTCGGCGATTGGTTCCGCAAATGGAGAATAGAAATAAATCCCGAAAAGAGTGTGGCGATTCACTTCACACGAAGAAATAAACCCGTCACATCTTTATAATGGCCCTCGCCAATGCAGAAAGTTGGGGCAAATATCCCTTTATGGCCAACCGCTCCCCTGGGAGAAAAAGGTCAAATACTTAGGAGTCACATTCGACTCGCGTATGTCATTTACTACGCACATTAATAACGTTCGTAATAGAGCCGCGTTCGTCTCCGGCCGGCTACACAATTTAACTAACGCTAAAAGTAAAATGCCCTTAAGGCACAAATATTATTATATAAGACCTGTGTACGACCTATTATGTCCTACGCATGCATGATCTTCGCCCACACGCACCCTACTCGCTTGTACAAGCTGCAAATAGTACAAAATAAGTTCATCCGCTGTGCAACCGGTGCGCAGTGGTACCAACGCAACGTCGATCTGCACAGCGATTGCAGACTCCCGACGATTCGCGAATATTTTAAAGATTTGACAAAACGGTTCTTCGATAGAGCCGAACATCATCCCAACCCTCTGGTGGTAAGCGCAGCAAATTACCAACCCGACACAAACGCGAACGTTAACAAGCGTCGCCCGCGAAACGTCCTCATCGACCCGGTCGAGGAAGGGGACTTAGATACGCCGGACCCACCGCCGGGGGTCCCGCCGGATAACACTACACCCACAGCTAGTGTAACAACAAACACAATAGTTCGCCCTCGCCTCCGAGCACGGCGAGACCAACACAATGCGTACACAAGGTACACCCGCGTTCCAGGGCGGTTCTCACCGCCCCCAGCCACCGATTAGCTAAAAACACAGTCGACGGCCATCGGGGTCTCGGTCCGCACCGCAACTTCGATGGCCCTTAGATGACATGTCGTAGTTAAACGCACGCATGAGCACATGCGCGGCCCTACCCACATCGGAGGGCCCAAACCCGTGGGTTCTGGCTAGCCCACCGGTTCTGCGTCAGATGAAGCTTTAATAGTCTCGGGACTGAAAGCAAAAACATCAGTTAATACAAGATACAAGATCACCTCTACACTCTATAGTCTCATCATAATATGACCAAGACTAGGAAACGCTATTTGGACCGTTTGTAAAAATAAGTTAGCCGAGGAATATTGTTGGCGGTTCTTACGTCTAGGGAAATAATAAAAACCGTGCGTACACCGCTGTAAAATCATTAAGTTGTAATAACATTCGCAGCAAAACAAAGTTATGCAGTAATTTATGTTCGTCGGATATTACGCAAACTCTTATGGTCGTTGTCGTAACATGTTAATGTTTACTACAAAGGCGATGGTCTTACGGACTTCGTCGTAAATTTTGTCGTAACATACTAAAGTTCAACTCAAATGGGACTGTCCATAGTATTGGTTTTAGCTGTATTGTAACAGAATGAAGCTCGAATATTTTCTTCTGTCTTACAATGTTTACAATATACAAATTAAAAAGTTACGTCTAAGAGCGGTCGTAAGATTTTTTTATCAAAAATAATAATTAGAAAACAACTGAAGAATCAGTTCAATCGCATCTTAGACGCCGAAGAATAAAACAAATAATTTGGTGAATTATTTGGAACTCTTTTACGAAATAATAATCAGCCGAAAAACGTCCGCTGAAGAAAGATCGAAAGACGTCCGCTGTTGAACAAAGCCTTCCACTTGCGACGTTTCAATTAACGCAATAATGGCGTTTATAAGTAATTGATTTTGTCTTTTAGTGCAAGCCTCTGCATTTCAGATGAAACATTAGATGTGTAGATAAATTGTCCAACTTAAATTGTATACATAAAATGTCGAATCCTGGCACCGACGAAAAATCTTCGACTTATTATCTACACTGTGATAGGGCCACGCAACGGTCTTCTCTGTTGCACGAATGTGCAGGTCCGTCCGGGTGAGTACCACGACCTCACAGAAGACGCATTAAGTGGAAGTGTTGCAATTCTGCGTTGCATCTAGGTAACCGGGGCCCTCTTTATTAAAAGGTGGCAACGCATCTGCAACCGGTGCTGCAATTGTCCGTGGGCGGCTGTTATCACTTAACATCAGGTGAACCGTCAGCTCGTTTGCCACGTTTTCACATAAGAAAAAGCTTATTATTGTTAACGTGACTTAACAACTTTACGGTGTTCACAGAGAAGCAGTACAGCGTGAAGACGAAGATCATCGTGGCCGACTTCAGCTCCGGGGCTGAAGTGTACCGGCATATCGAGGAGGAGCTTAAAGACATTCCTTTAGGGATTCTAGGTAAGGAGGGATATATACAATTTTAGGAACAGCGACTGCCTCGTGGCATAAACATCATATGGGCGATATAAAGTTGCGCATTTGATTCTCAATGACGAGATTTAATGACATTTCCTTTTTGGATGATCAATGTACAAAAATCGCTTACTCAAATTTGTGCTTGGAGCACGGCGGAGAGTCACAACCTGTCTATGTTGAGGATTCTATCTTGGTGGTAAGATCATTTGTCGATCACATGAGATTAAGTGTCTTGTAAACTTTTGCTTTTATGTGGATTTTATATCCATGAATCGGCATAGATTTAATGCGTATTTTATGAAAGAGTTGTGTAGGATCCGTGAATATTAGAAACCCAAAGTGTGTATCTAATGTAACTTCTGGGTGACTGTCATGAGTATTTATGATATCTAAATAATAGCTGACCAATCAGTCGTTTGCTATTACTGGTACGGTATGGCTCTGTATGGTCTATGACCTACCCTACACATATCCGAGGAAGTCCCTACAGAAGTTACGAAACAACGGATTTATCCAAAAACCAAAACCAAAAATTATTACATGGCAATAAATATGATGATATACATATATGGAACTGTTTCTGCTGATGAAGATAATTTCGACGATTACCATGGTGTTGGTGATGGTTATGATTTTGAAGAATGTGTTGATAACGAATATGGCTCGCGCGCCAGTGAATAACGTGGGCGTGCAATACGACTACCCTTGCCGGCTTTGCGAGCTGCCGCCGTCGAAGGCGTGGGAGATCATCAACGTGAATGTCGGCGCGGTGACGTCGATGACTCGGCTGGCGCTGCCGGCGATGGCGGCGAGGGGCCGCGGGGCGGTCGTCAACGTGTCGTCGGGCGCTGAGCTGCAGCCGCTGCCTTTGATGGCGGTATACGCCGCCTCCAAGGTAATGTCTTTGCGAGGCTTTTCGCTGGTTCACCTGACGCTGACGTCGATTTAGGCTTGCGGTATCAGTCGGTTACAGATGCGTTGCCGATCATGGTAAAAGTGGACGCCTTGCTCAGTACGCGGGGGCTTTCGTTGTGGTATTAATAACACAATAAAAAAAATTCCGCCTTAACTAAACGACCTAAACGACCATTGTATTATTGTTTAGGTCGTTTAGTTTTTTTTGTGAAAGGAGCTGTGTAAATCCCATTGAACATTTGTATTTTATATTTTGTGTGGAAAGTCCCATCTGCCGCTGCGATCTAGAAGATCTATTTGTAGCTTTCCCTTTGAAGTCCCCCTTTCTGCAGGATATCATTATCTTTTTTGTAAGGACGTTTTTCATGCATAAATATCACGTTGACAACACGCGAATCGGAAAAAAATATCCGTGGGTCATACAAATAGTTGTCTCGTGTAAGAATCGAACCGACGACACACGGCGCCGGTGCCGATACCTAGGCAAACGCGCCACAGAGCCGTCCTATCACATGATCGCTTTTCGCCTTATGAGCCTTATGCGATCAAATAGTCGAATCACTGCACTCCCCCCTCCCCCCATAAAACAAACGGGCAACGTCGGTCCAGGCGTACGTGCGCAACTTCACGCTGGCCGTGCGCGAGGAGTACGCCGGCAGCGGGGTGCACGTGCAGCACCTCTCGCCGCTGTTCCTCTCGACCAAGATGAACGCGTTCTCCGCGCGCCTGGTGCGCGGCGGCGCGCTCGTGCCCGACGCGAGGACGTACGCGCGCCACGCCGTGGACGCCCTCGGCCGCGTCAGCGACTCCACCGGCTACTGGCTGCACGGCGTTCAGGTACACTCGCGCTCGGAAGCCGACTGTGTACAGTTGCGTACGGTTCACACGGCCCTCTTTTGGTTTATGTCGGATTGTGATGCGATAGTTGGCTGCAGGGCGCTCAGGTACACTCGCGCTCGGAAGCCGACTGTGTACAGTTGCGTACGGTTCACACGGCCCTCTTTTGGTTTATGTCGGATTGTGATGCGATAGTTGGCTGCAGGGCGCTCAGGTACACTCGCGCTCGGAAGCCGACTGTGTACAGTTGCGTACGGTTCACACAGTCCTCTTTTGTTTTATATCGGGTTGTGATTCGATAGTTGGCTGCACGGCGTTCAGGTACACTCGCGCTCGGAAGCCGACTGTGTACAGTTGCGTACGGTTCACACGGCCCTCTTTTGGTTTATGTCGGATTGTGATGCGATAGTTGGCTGCAGGGCGCTCAGGTACACTCGCGCTCGGAAGCCGACTGTGTACAGTTGCGTACGGTTCACACAGCCCTCTTTGGTTTATGTCGGATTGTGATGCGATAGTTGGCTGCAGGGCGCTCAGGTACACTCGCGCTCGGAAGCCGACTGTGTACAGTTGCGTACGGTTCACACGGCCCTCTTTTGGTTTATGTCGGATTGTGATGCGATAGTTGGCTGCAGGGCGCTCAGGTACACTCGCGCTCGGAAGGCGACTGTGTACAGTTGCGTACCGTTCACACGGCCCTCTTTTGGTTTATGTCGGATTGTGATGCGATAGTTGGCTGCGGGGCGCTCAGGTAGACTCGCGCTCGGAAGCCGACTGTGTACAGTTGCGTACGGTTCACACGGCCCTCTTTTGGTTTATGTCGGATTGTGATGCGATAGTTGGCTGCAGGTCGCCCAGGTACACTCGCGCTCGGAAGCCGACTGTGTACAGTTGCGTACGGTTCACACAGTCCTCTTTTGTTTTATATCGGGTTGTGATTCGATAGTTGGCTGCACGGCGTTCAGGTACACTCGCGCTCGGAAGCCGACTGTGTACAGTTGCGAATACGTGTGAGGATTTTATCTCAACTTTTTTTATGACTACAAAACAAAAATGTTTAAAAAAAAATTTTTAAGTTTTTTATAGTGATAATCTCTGCACTTAAGATTGAACATTAAAACATGTAGAAAAAGTACGAAAAGATTGTCGCCGCTGTGGCTATCAGCCGTTTAGCTCAGTGGCTAGAACGTCAGGCCGCGAATGCCGAAGACGTGGGTTCGATTCCCACAGCGACGACAATCTTTTCGTACTTTTTCTACATGTTTTAATGTTTAAAAAGAATCAAAAATATTTAATTGTCTAGTGGGGTTTTAGAAACATCTTTCTTTTCTCTCGTTATGAAAATAAGAATGGTATAAGATAGAAATTTCAAATACATTTCACATATCGTGTTCATTTAAGTTTTATATATATCCTTTCTCCCGTTACAGTACTTCTTCATTAAGGCCGCACCGGAGTGGTTCAGGATCAAAATTGGCATGCACATGAACGAGGGTTTCAGGAAGGAGCACCTGCAGAGCATCAGCGCTGAGGCGCAGTGACGCACAGACATTCCCTACGCTAAATAGACGCATTTGTAAATAGTTTCTAGGCGGAATGTACTTTAACTGGTAGGAGTCAGTGTCCTTAATTACAGCTTAAACATCGTTAAATGTGCTTATTCCCGAAGTTAATAAGACTGCACTTGCCATGTAAAGGTAAATTAGAGTCCTCTTTGAGTTTGGATGTTATAACGTTGTAATATGATGAACGCGATGTCTGACGCACTGACGAACGATAAAAAGAAACATTAGAAGAAATAATTTTAATGTACAATAATCAGAAACGTATTCCCATGAGCGATGTAAACAATAAGTTTCACATCGTTAACATCTATTTAACTAACAAATAAATCCTATATGCTCGGTATTTTCTGTAAATAATATATGTGAGAATTTGATAAAAATAAACTTTATTGTTAATGAGTTTTAAGTACATGTCAAAAGTGCAGGGCAGTACAAGAAATGTGAAATAAAATAAATTTTTATAATGGTGCTTCTAGTTTTAGAATAGTGTAATATACATATAAAAAAACATTGTATAAGTAAAATGTTATGTTTGAAAAAGTTTTTCCTTTCCAGTCCCATTATCTATCACCAATGACTCGCTAAAGTTTGTTAGTATCGTAGCTTGGTTGCTCATATCGCGATGAGGTTGGCAATGACTGGTACATTGATTCCGAATAGCCATTGGGTACTATAGTACCCTAAAAATGTCGAAAGCTGAGCTAGTAAGCATTTTGTTACCTTTTTTGGACTAAAGTCACTGTCTAACGGTTTAGCACTTAGCCGTTCGAACGTGTTATAGTCACTATACTGTATACATGCCTCTATAATAACTATTGGTTTTTGGCTTAATGCTTTAACAATTAAGATAAAGTGTACGCCAATTATTCGAGCCGACTTTCTTAAATATTTTTATGTGAGAAGGTGACAATAGGGTTGACGGTAAACCTGACCTTAAGTGATAACCCCCGCCTATTTGCAAAACCCGTAGGGTTGCAAATGTGTCACCTTTTAATAAAGTGGGCTCCGGCTAACTGGCTCACCAGACGAAACGCAGAAGCATTAAACTTCTACTTCACGCCGGTCTTATGTGAGGTCACGGGACTTTCCCAGACAGAACTGCCCATTCGTGCAACAACGAAGAATGTTGCATGGTTCTACCACAGGTGAAATGGCTGACAACTTATCTGCAATTCTATGCTGAATATGTTCATGGCCATCACTTAACGTCAGATGAACCGCCTACTCGCTTGCCAAAGTTTCACGTAAAAAAAGGAAAGGTTAACAATTGGCAAAAAAGTTTCTACACCATATAGCAACTGTCAATTATGACATGTCGTAGTTCTTCTCTGTCTCCTAGTGCGTCTTTATTTTGAGAAGTTAAACACAAATCCTAACGCGATCAAAACTAATGCCAGGTTCAAATGGTAGTTTCAATAAAAGAGGCAGCGGCAGCAGAGATGTCGAATACCAGAACAGCGTTTATGAAACCGACGTAAGCGAGCGCAATTACTGTATTTACTTAACTAACAACTTAATAAACGTCTGAGCTTAACTTTCTACGGTCGCATCTGAGAACAACTTGAGAATACCTGAGACAGAGATTTTGAACATAGGATTTTTATTAATTAACTTGTGTTAGTCCTCGTGATTTAAAATTTCGCACGTTCAAAAACAGACGGTTCTAAGAAAAGCTTGCCATTTGTGAGACTCAACTATGCAATTAGAATATCTCTAGTCATCTTGGGTCGTTCCAATCGCGTATTAGATGTGACAGTTCTAATCAGATCATGCTTAATTAAAATTTTTATAGTGCTAATCTGTGCACTTAAGATAAAATATTAAAATTTTAAATGTTTTAATATTAAAATTTGTAGAAAAAATCATGCGTATCTTAGATATTGTACACACTCTGAGCAATGCGGTAAGCATGTATTGCTGACACAATTATGTGTGGAAGACAATGATGTTTTAATGGAGTGGAAGACAATAATCGATTGAAAAATCTTCCGGTTTACATTATAATGCGTAGTAATATAAGTGAATGTGACGTATGATATAGAACGGATGATACGGAAAGATATGAAATTCTATAGCATTGCATTTTACGTATGCTAGCCATAGACAGAATCGGACCGCACAGAAGAGAAATTACACCAATTGCCGCAATTTGAATGCCTCAGTTTCGGCACGCTAGTCTCATAATTATCTACCTCGTATTTGTATATACATCATTTCATATTATATAATGTCATTGGTGGAAGAGGCGAGAATATTAAGCCTTAAGGATCCATAATCTCCGCAAATTCCACTTGGAAGCGCGCGTGAATGTACCTATACATGTTTCAGACGGAATACGCATTATGGTGGAGCAAGGAGCAAATACTGAGAAGCTTCCAAAATTGTCCGGATGACACCGCGTGGAACGTCTTTGTCTGCGTCCAGGTGCTAGCGTCCATCGTGCTGCTTGCTACGGACGTGGCGATGGTTTACTACGACTTCTTCGACGTCTTCTACAATGTGGTGTACGCGGTTCACGTCCTAGGTGTCGCCTATAACCTCTACGTGAATAGAGAAACCACCGTCTTCACCTTCTCCACGGCGCGTAAGTGTCACGCTGCGGAAACAGTTGATGTTAACTTATAAATGTTAAAAAAACCGGCCAGACTCGCGCAGGAAGAGTTCCGTACCATTATCTATAAAAACGCCAAAAATGTCTGTTCATGTCTGTTGTATGGGCGCCCCGCTTAAATATCTTTTTAATCTGTTTGTTAGTATTCGTTTTTATAGCGGCAACAGAAATACATTATCTGTCAAAATTTGTAGAAAGACATCAACTATAACTATCATTGTTCATGAGATAAAGCCTGATGTACAGGCGGACAGACAGACAGATAGATAACCGAGTTTTAATAATAGGGTCCCGTTTTACCCGTTGGGTACGGACCCTTAAAACAACGCGAATTCTTCACTATCGTTTAATTACACTAGACTTACACTAGTTTTAGAAGTATTCACCTTTATCAACACACTTGAAAAATGTAAATGTAGGTATATAATAATTAATAAAACAAAACTTTTATCATAAAAATAAAAAGAAAAATTTTGATGATACAACATAAAACAACTACCTTAAACACAATTCAAATATTTCGTTTTTATAAAATAGATCCATCGATTATTGAATAATGTTTGAACTGTTCATACTTTCTTTTTGATTGGAATTTAATTTGTATTATAAGGCAACCCTTACGGCTTGTTACAGTTGGCTTCCTTGTGGATGTGTTGACTTATTTCCATTATTTTCTTGAGAATTTTTATCCGAGAGAGGCTAAGCTGCTGGCATACTATCTCAGATTACACAGGCCCTTCAGGTACCTTTGTAAGTAAAATTCTTTTTGTTGCAATTACACAGTATGAAACTACAGATAACCAATGCGGAAGAAAGGTTGTCGAGTGGCAGCCTCGTTACTAGGCATCGCAGTGTAGGATGTCTTCCACTAGATGGAGTGACCTGTGCAAGTGTGAGGGGAGTCGATGGATGCAGGTGTCTCAGGATCGTGGTTCGTGGCAGTCTATGGGGGAGGGGATCTTTGGGGGAGTATATATATATAAGCAATGCTTTCTAATAGACTGAAATGATTGATGATTATTGAAGAAACTATAATGCTTTACATTTTTTTTATACGCGTGTATAGTGGATTGAAAAGTTCAACAATTCAGTGTAATGTCTACTACTCTATCATCCTTCTTTCGTGATCAGATCGCGTTTTTGTTTTTGGTACAGGACCAATGAACATGCTGACTTTTCCGTGGACAAGTGTAAATCTTGATGGTTTTCTAGAGGCAAGCACTTGTCCATGTACGTGCTTTGGCTTGTAGTGTGCTAAATCAGTAGCTAGCTGGGAGCCGCGCGATTCATAACGCGTGGATAAACTTAGTATGTGTGGTGTAGTAACTAGGCGATGTTGGAACAGTATTCCGCTCCTGCTCCGCTTGTAGCTCCTGGTGATTGTATACTGCGTGTCGCTACTAACGCGACCATAAATCAATACACATTTATAGGTAACTTATTTAAATTGTATTAATCATTCACATTCTTTAGACATCAATATTTACCGAGTTATTGAATTTTGAAAAACAAACAATTTTAGAACAACCTTACCTATAAAACTGTAACGTAAAGTTCATTTGTAAAGGTCACAAAGCATTTGAATGGTTTGAATGAATTTGAAAAGGGATAAAACATACTGTTAGAAGGAGAGATTTGTAATGCGACGCTGCGGCAACGAATGACAAAGTGTCTGAATGTATGAATCAGTCAGTTGTAGTTGTATAGGATGTTACAAATTTTGTTTCTTTTTTATTTAATTAGTTTGTTTGTAAAATATTTCTTTTAATTATGGATTTTTTTAACGGTTTATATTTTTTATGCCTATTGGCAAGTGGCGTTAGACGTGTATTCATTTATTGTCGCGGTTGTAACGCACGCTGTATAAGGCGGTTTCGAATTTAAGCTGTTATTTCACATCATCATCACCAGCCGCAAGACATCCACTATGGAACAAAAGACTCGTGCTTAGAACGCCACATCGAACGATACTTTGCCATTTGCATCCACCGGTTGCGCGCGACCTTTACGATGTGTTAAGTCTACCTAGAGAGAGAGCTTTACATAACTAGTAATCAGCCGATCAATAAGTAATGGCATTATCATCTTCCAGGGGCTTTGAATGACTATAATCTTAAGAGCAGCGTTCTCGGTACCGCTCTTAAGTACTGCTATATTTTCTTCGTTCTTCGTATCACTTGGGCTCTCGTTTGGATGCAATTCCAAGAGGTATTGGTACAGTTATTAATTACCATTCTATTTTACCTTTTACGTTAGGCATAACATCCTTGATGTGATCTGAATTGTTTAAAAGCTTTAAAGCAAATCGTAGTTATTTGTAATAACACAGCAAAAACATAAAGGTACATAGCTACTAATACCAACTTAGTAAGGAGATGCCTTGTTTTATGGTTGCCATCAACAGAAAAAATTTTCTTACAGAGTTGTACATTTATTTATTAACTTTATTGGAGGCAAATATGCCCAAAAGATAAATAAAAAATAACTTAAAGCGTGGAGATATTTACAGTTCTTTCCTAAATTAATGTTTCGCAGAGAACAAATTTATTATTTGTTGCTAGTACATTTACAGTAGACCTATTTCAATTACGGAGGATACATCACTTAACAACAACGTAAGAACGTACAATTTTAAGCTATTGGACATATAGAACAACAATTTTAACAAAAGGGAGTGAATATTGAGTTAATACTACTCGTATTTAATATGAAGAAATATATTTATGGAGCTTTTGCAGGCCGAGTGGGAACAAGAATATGTATCTAAATTTACCCATAAATGCTTTTATAACATAGTTTTCTTTTTTATATCTAAGAAGAACACTATTCTATTTATACAGTGGCGAATTTGTAATCTTGGCCGCCCTAGGCCCCAGCCCATGTAGTAAGTTCCAGCCGCCGCTTTCTCAGCGCCTATCATATATCTTGTTATCATTAGTAAATTTTGGGTCACATTTGGGGCCGCCCCTAATATGTGGGCGCCCTAGGCCCGGGCCTATTGGGCCTTAGGGAAAATCCACCACTGTATTTATACTATACTCTCAATGCAAAAAAAGCTTAGACCTCGCTTTTTAATTTCGCACCAATCGCATAAACTGCACCTTGGCTTTTAACTTCGCTGGAATGTGATAAAACTTAATCCGTTGTCAATCACAACCAGGAGGAGAGCCACTACGACGATCATTACTGGCGACTGGCACACGAAGCCCCGTTCAGTTTCTCGCCTCAAGAGCTTTTGGAGCAGAACGCGAGCGAGTTCCTCAGGACATTGTACCTTGTCAACAAGATGTTCATACCGATCGGGTATGTAAATGATCGTGACACGAACCGCGGCCTTCTGTTTCGGGGCCGCCCGATTACCGACCGAGCTATTATAACATTTTTTTTTCGGTGAAATTTACCGTCGTATTCGAATGATATTTTTCATTCCCTGAAAACAGGGATAAAACAAAATTTTCTAAAAATGAAACCTAGCCAGATCGATTTTTCGCGCCCGAATCTACGCACATACTAAATTTCACGAAAATTGCTTGAGCCGTTTCCGAGATTCCGATTATATATATATAAGATAATTCCGATTATATAGATAAGATAAGATGGTAAGGAACCCTTTGTGCACAAGTCCGACTCGCACTTGGCCGGTTTTTATTATTCATCTGCAGTGCCGTATAGCTCAGTGTCCGGTCGCTCGCTTTTAACTCTATATACCTACTCGAGTTCAAATTCTGGCGTTGGCACTAATTAAATTGTTATTTGCTGTTTTAAGTACTGACTCATCCTGTGTTTAACGGTGTAAGAAAACATTGTGAGGAAACTTAAATATTTTTAAAGTTACGTAAAAAATAGATATGTGATCTCTGCCAATCCGACCAATACATATAGCCTGTTTTTTTTAGGGTTGCAGATGCGTTGCCTTTAATAAAGTTAATAAAGTGAGCCCCGGCTACCTCACTCATCAGAGGAAACGCAGAAGTTTTACACTTCCACTTCACGCCGGTCTTCTGCGAGGTCGTGGCAACTACCCGGACGGACCTGCCCATTCGTGCAACAGCCGAAGCTGTTTCCTGGCTGCACTTTATACTTCCACGCGTATTTAGCATCTCACAGCAACGTTGCCGATTACGCCACTGTGATACATTTGATATTTTGGTCGATTGTTTCAACTGACAAAACCGTTCGACTTAGACCCTCGACGCCACCGAAAACCGACACGGAGCGGGTCCTGTGCCTGATGGTGATGATAACGGGCGGGCTGACGGTGTCAGGCTGCGCGGTCGCCTCGCTGTCCCTGGTCATCGGCATCTACATGAGGCCCGAGGAGAGGTTCCGCGCGCGGTTCCGCCTCATCATGAGGGACATGGCGAGTGTTTCGAAATAGTAGCAGCAGAAATAACTTGCGTTGATGGCAATGTCTATGCCAGTTCATCAAAAAATACATATTAATTTACCTTCGACCACGTCACCTGCCGATCTGCACCGCAAAACATTTTTCACATCACAAAACTCAGCAAATAAAATCACAACGATATGAAGAGTCATGATCAAGAATTATCATATTTTTGAATTATAACTTAGAAAACTTACGTTTTTGCTTTAGGAAGATTCAGCCGTATCCGCCAGCCTCAGCGAGAAGGTGCAGACGTTCTACAAGATGTACTGGCACAAACAGAAGGCCGTCTCAACGACCCAACTGCTGCCTACATTCCCGCCCTGGATACCTTCCATCGTGTACACTGACATCTACTTTAAAGCCACCCAAAAGGCGAGAGGATCAAACAGTTCTACATTTGCAGAAATGTCTGACGTTCTCTAATTTTTTTTTACGTTCAATGATAATTTTTTTTAATTTTCTGATTTTAATCGATTTACACCGGCCAGGAACATTGGCAAAACCCGAGGGTTGGCACTTGCGTTGCCAATTTTCACAAAAATTGCAACTCTCGTTTGTACTGGAGTTGCAATTTGCTGAAAATTACCTTGTCTAATTCAATATTCTTAATGACTTATGGAAATGGTTCAATAAATTTGAGAAGTTCATATAGTAATAATGATTTATCGCGAGCCCGAATATCATTCCTACAATGGCCTTACATGGTGCAGTTGCTTAAAAAGTTCTACTCACATTTCAGAGCCGCATCCTCAGTGACCTCTCTTACCAGTTCCTATGTGAGATTGTCAAGAATATGCAGACGCTGCATTACATACCGGGCGACACTATTATCAAACGGTCGACCCAAAAATCATCAATCATTTACATTAGCTACGGAGACATCGAGGTATCTTGTTTTTTTTCTAACACACTAGGACACTTTTCGATGAAATAATGTTATTTGTACAAGGCGATTACAAGCACAAAATAAAACAAAGACTAACAGCCAGATCCAGTGCAATAGTAATCTGTAGGTCATATAAATACTTGTCCTGGCTGGGAATCGAACGCAAGACCTATCCACTATCTCCTCTATCTTCTAATTCAGTGCCATCTAATCAATGTACTTATTAAATGAAACTAGTTTACGGATTTTATCGCGTTTTAATTTCGATTTTTAATTCCCGGCCTCTCGAACCCTTTCTAGCGTTCATGGTCACGGGATGGACTGAGTTGTAACATGTCTTGATGTGAATGTTAACCCGGGCTACCGTCAACTATTTTGTTATTTATTTTTCTTCCGATCTACGCAAATGAGCTTATGCTACCTTGAGGTCTAGCAGTATTGGTGTGCTTGGATTTAATTTTATATATTATGGAATCCGAAGCAGATGATATACCCCAACCATCTTCTCTATTGAAATTAGGATTTTTATTTATTTCAATAGCCTCGCGGATCAAATCTTGGAAGAAATCGGTGTTCTTTTGCGAGGATTTTCGGTTGATCAAACCTTATGTAGTAGTTGGGGCGGTCCAAAATATGATAACAAAATGCAGACTTTTTAGTACCTTAAGTGTCGCCAAGCTTTATTAAAAGTTGACCCCAATTACCTCACTGAGCAGACGACACTAAACTTTACGAGTACTATAATATAGTTCTTATGATTCGTGAATCAGGGTCGTGTGAGGCCGTGGTACCTCCATGGATAAGTTAGTTAATTATCAAAAGCTGCTGCGTGGTTCTGTCCTGAACCATAATGGTTAACTGATAGTGCAATCTTGAATTTGCCTCAAATTGAGACCGTTGGTCTATTCAAATGATGTACCCGATTTTATAATATAACCAAAGATCGATATGAACCTGAGTAGAATGTTAAATGCTATCACCGTGAATTCTGTATGTGACAATTGCTTCAACGGATGTTGACAGCTGAAGAGAAACTACAGTAAAACTACTAACATAGACCGTAAACACACTAGAAGAGTAAAAGCTTACTCACTCTTGCCTCAAAGACACCCACTTTAACAGGCATAAAGGCAGATGCGGGCCTATTAGTACTACAAGTTGCACAGCGTATATAACGCTTTTTGTCTTAATCGTCCTCCAAGATGTTGACAGCTGAAGACGACTCTACGGCGATGCTGCGCATGAGCCGTGGGACGGTGCTTGGCCCGTGTGCCGGCTGCCCGCCGGCGGGGTGCGGCCGTGCCCACGTGGACATCCGCGCCGCCACCTTCTGCACCGCCCACGTGCTCAGGGCCGGCGACCTCTGGAGGACCGCCCACCGCTTCGGCAGGAGCAACGGGCAAGCGGCTGTCATCCTTGCATCCTTCTATGTACTCTATGATTTATCTCGTCAGGCCAAGTATATCCCGTATTGCAGCCGCGTTTGATCTAAATTCTAATGGCTTCCATAAAGATGCATTTAGTCCAGTAATGAGTTTTTTTATGTTAGAAGCTGACGGTTCACCCGATGGTAAGTGATAACCGCCGCCCGTAGGGTTGCAGATGCGTTGCCACCTTTTAATAAAGTGGGCCCCGGTTACCTCACTCATCAGACGAAACGATGGATTATAACACGCACTTCAAGCCCGTCTTTTGTGTTGTCGTCTACTTCCCAGGATGGACCTGCCCATTCGTGCGCCAGTAAAGACTATTGCGTGTTACTACCACAGTCATAATTGTTTTATACCTCAGAACTCCGTCATGTATGATTCTGTTTACATTGGTTTTTGTTTAGCTCTCATGTGGTCCCACATTAATTTCGTTGGTACTGGACCTTGGACTTATACAATAAGGAACACCTCAAAATCAAACATAAATAGAAAATCTAATGAATAGTGAGTGAGACATTTGAAGTCGATTTTGTTTAATTTGCACAATATGTTCTTAGTTATACAGTTGTGATTGTTTGTCGTCAGCCCGATGGTAGATATAGGTCATCAAGGTATTAATGACATAATAAAATATGACATAATGTAAGTAATAAAAACGAGTTTTCACAAGAGAGTCGACATCTAAGCGATCTCGGCCATAGGACAGGTCCTATGGAATGACGATGTTAATTTATTTAACACCCTAATTCGAATCAAGTGATTAGTAAGAAGCATTAGGAATTACGTAGTTGACCACCGTTCAAGTTTAAAACTGTTTTCAGGAGCACTTGGAACGAGTCAAAAGGCATTACTACTTAAAAATTGCCGAAAAATCTAAGTAAGATTTATTCTTACTCATAAAATTTAAGTAATACGGTTAAGATTTCACGAGAAGCCGAAATAAAAAGTCATGAAATTCACTATATATTACATATTTCTTATTAGTTACGAATTAGTAAATATATTGTGGAACGTTGACAAAAGTGTTCGAAAATAAATGTGACATAAGGAACAAATTTGGAGAAAAAAAATTATTCTCTAAAACAATGGTTATAACTGATCATTTGCCAGCCGCTTTGAAAATCGTCAGGGATCTGTATTAATCTTATTTCTAATCTATTTATTTTACGTTTAAAGACACTTTTAACAGTTTTTTTGATTTTTCTGACATTTGGATTTTGTTTAAGGCTAGCTATATCTATTTAACTGCTCTATTCCTCGTCTAAATTTTCTTGAAAACAATGAAAATCCGACTATATTTGTATATTTAACACTCCGAGAGTTTCACGAATAAAAAAACCTGTGCACTCGGGGACTGCCGCGGTAAAGCTATTGCATAGCATTTTTAATCAACTTATGCAATTATAATTATTTATTTATGCAGTATTTATGCAGTATTTTTTTTCTTTGATACTAATTCAAGTTTTTTCTTTGATATTAATTCAAATTACATTTTTGAGCGTGGTGACCGATAAGAAAACAATTTTATTTTCTTTTATTAAATAAATGAGAAGTTAATATCGTTTAAACTATTTTTATCTTACAATACATGTAGGTTATTCAGCAATTTTTATCATTAAAAGTATAGTTTTATGGTAACTGAAATAAGAAACATAAGTGAGACTTGATGTCCTGTAAATATAATATCATCATAATATGATAATATAATATTATAATATCATATTATAATATCTATCCGCGCGAGCTTAGTACAGTCGTACCATATACATACACGTTAAGCAAATGCTCGGCCGAGCTACATGGTAGGCGGAGTGAGGCGTGTTAGGTTTTATTTTCGTTACGGAATTTCTTGATTCGGTCGCCGCGCTCAAAGTCCGCGATAAAAGCTATGCAATAGCTTAAAAAAAATTATCGTGTTTTGTTGTATAATAGATAAACATCGTTCGGATATATACTTATAGGTACAAGAGCAGTATTTGGACCTTCAAGCGAAATCTTATGGAACTAAAGAAGGCGCGAGATAGTAACGGGAACTTACTCTTGGCGCGTACTGATATTATGCTGGAGATTGCTGGCTGCTATATCATGAGAAATGTTCGTATTTCTGTTCACTAATGGAGTAACTCTACACTATAGCTAGAGCTGTGAAGTAATATGTGTCACCCAACACTTCATCCAGGAACTAGTTTGTTCCTAGTTCGTTCTAAGATATTTTTATCCGTTTCTACGTAACATGAATTTGTAATTCATAATTGTTATTAAAATTAGAATTATAGATATAAATGTAATCGATAGTCCCTTGTGATTGACACTGGTATGTCAATTTTTGATACTATACCAAGTAAAAGGACTGTCATGCCATTTAATGCACAGTATTAGTCAAATTCTTCAAACGTTGGCAGCGCGCAGACTCCTCGCTGACGGACGAGTCGGACGCCATCTGCCTCCGGTCCACGTTCCCCTGCATCCTGCAGCCGCGCTCCGTACTCCAGACCATGTGGAACTCCTTCGTGTGCTGTCTCATTGTTGTCGTATGCTTCGTGAGTGTTCCCAAATGATGATTTCAAACGCACGAGAACTTTGAGTGGAAACTGTGATCGCACAGTGGCATTTTGTCTTTGAATTAATTGTACTCGTTGATAATATTTAATAAACAAGTAGTATTTCGAGACATATTTTTACACAACATTGTCTAGTCCCAAACTAAGCAAAGCTTGTGGATACTAGATAAATAAATACTTATATATAATAGGTGATATAAACACCCAAACACTAGAAAAACACTATGTTTATCATGCAATATTTTAAGAAATAAAAAAATAAAACCATCTTTAGTAGGTCTACTTGAGTATAAGTCTGTCAAAGACTCAAATATGTTTGCTTTACTTTACTTTTTTCTAGCATAGTTTATTTGTACAAAGTATAGAATGGAGACTTCTAATAGATGGATTATTCTATTGCAGTATGACAGGCAACTAAAACTTAAAGCATTTATTATTTCAATCAAGTAACGACTATGTCGAAATGTCAACAATTGCTTTTAATCTGGAAGTGACGATAGTATCATACAAACATAAGAATTAAAAATGCAATTCAACAATAACTAAAATTGGTGGTTTTTTTTTTTTTCATGGGTTTTGTATAGATGAAAATGAGTACCTACATACTTATTTTAAAATAACACATGGAGAAACTGAAATGCATCTCGCGAATTTAGTACTTGCTTAATGGTAAAGTCGTCGCTTAATTTCTAAAAGTAAATGGGCTTTTACTGAGCTAGGGTGTTTAACATCTACGTCTGCATCGCTACTTACTCAGGTGAGTTAGCGGTCACGGCTCACACACTAGGTAGTCCCACAAAACTAGAGAAGTGGAATATTTGCACCTTTGACTAACCGGAACCCGTTTCTCTCCCTTCATTCTAGACTCACCCTTATTATATTGCCTACAAGGAACGGGTGCCGATAGAATTCCGATTCTACGATTACGTGGTGACATGTATCTACTTGCTGGATATCTTCGTGTACCTCTCCACTGGTGCGAATGTTGAAGACGGTAAGAGTTTAATTTTGATGGAGCGGACGATTCTAGATAGGAATAAAGTTCACAATTACATAGATTTCCTACAACGTTTTTAAAGTTTGCAAAAGTAAATAGAAAAGTTAACTGTAAATCCACTGAAATGTAGTTTAGTATACTCTGTTAACGATGACGCTACAACTTTTGCTTATTTTTGAGTAACGTAACGTTTGTTAACCTTCTATTTTATACGTTTATTTGGATTTTCATTTTTGATAATGAATAAAACACATGAAAACAACACATACTAATCTGTCATTTGTAGTGTTCTCCAGTAAGGACGAGAACATGTTCGGTTTTATAGTTCTGGATCACCTTACTGGGTAATCCGTTACAGATGCGTTACTTCTTTTAAAGTGGGCCCTAGCTACCTCACTCACCAGTCGGAACGCAGAAGTATGACACTTCCACGTCACGCCGGCCTCCTGTGACGGTCGAATGGGACTCTACGTGGGTTGCATCCCCTCAGGTGTGCCGATCACCCTTCTGCAGACCGCGTCACAGCAGATCCGCAGCCACTGGTTCGTGCTGGACGTGGTGGCCACCATGCCACTGTTCGAATTCATCCACGACGGGCATTTCGCGGGCATCAACAAGCTTCTCAGACTGCCTAAGGTATTAAAATGTTTGCCACGCGCAAATTGGGTATATTTATAAAATTATTTAAGCGTTGTCAGCATTAGCCCCTCATATATTTGAATTATTCGTGTAAAGTTTAAACTCGTACAGTCGTGTAATTGTTTGGTGACTAATAAATATTCTCTATTTTAGCCCAGTCTCTAATCATTCATACTTTTTGTTTAAATATGCATAAGACAAAATTTAATTTTCAAAAGTTTGACCGTCTTATGATACCAGTAATGTTTACGAAAAACTTGTTCCTTGTAATTCTGAAAAGCAGCCACGAAAATTTGGGCTTCCTAATATAAGTAACCCCAAGTAACTAACGCCCGGTTTCTGAAACACTGTTCATCGTAGAAGTCAACTAATCAACTGTCAAATGGATTTTCCTGGATCCTTTTGGCAACTCAAATAACATTTGAAAATCCATTTGACAGCTGATTAGTTAACTTCTACGATGATAGATGATGGGGCGCAAGTCAGGGTTTTCTATGCGCTGTTATTTGTTTAAGGTCTTCCGTATGCTGAAATCCCTGGAGGACGACTGGGTGTACTACAGCAACTTCTTGAGATTCTTATCGTACTCCCTTCTGCTTGTCATAGCTTGCTACCTCGTAGCGGCATTGCAGCAAACCTTCATGTGCTTCTGGTTAGATCTTCTGATGACAATAACTTCCGAGACGTATTTAGTAAAAGTAAAAAAGTAAAGTAACAGTCTATACATATCCCACTGCTGGGCAAAGGCCTCCTCTTTAACTGAGTTTTTTTGAGAGATTAAGAGAATCCACCACGCGGCCCCGCAGAGGATTGGCGAACTTTCACGTTCACATTTACCTTCGATTTTTTTTTACATAATCAGACATTATCTAAATTTGGCAAATCTTGAAATCAAATTGTGGCTTCCAATAAGTGATATAAATCAACATAAGCTCTCATACTGAAGAGTTTATGTGAAAAGCGTAACAGTGGCTATATAGTCTCTGTATATAATTCCGATTATTAAAAACCCTATCCTCGGACTCCTAACGGCCACCACTGCTGCATATCATTGTAAATTTTCTTTGAAATCAAAAAAAAAACTCTTTTTAAATCTTCCTCACACAGATAACTTACATGAGAGGCCTAAAGACAGCCCCACGACTAGTTCGGCTATCAGTTTCAGCCACTGCTCCGTGACTAACTTCACGCATCCGCCATTTTGGGCGCACGTGCCGCCGGACGACGCGGCCATTGGCAACAGCCTGACTTTCGGACTCTATTGGGCCGCATCTATCATCACGTTTACAAGTGAGTCCTCTAGTTACAATAAGAAACAGCGACCCGCCCCGGGTTTGCACGGGTACAAAGCTGATGATTTGTATTCGACTTCGCATTAGAAACCTTTAAAATTATCGGTGTTTTTCTACTATATTATGCACGAATTACACGTATAAACCTTCCTCTTGAATCTCTCTTTCTATTAAAGATAACCGCATCAAAATCCGTTGCGTAGTTTTAAAGATCTAAGCATATATAGGGACAGACAGACAGCGGGACGACTTTGTTTTATACTATGTAGTGATACTACCATGACCGTTACGGTCATCCATCCAAATAGCTAACATTGCGATGAACCCGAATATAGTCGTCACTTAAGCAAAAAAAAAAAACATTTTCAAACATTAAATTAAATCATATATATAATATTTTAGGAAATTTATTTTTTCAATGCGTACCTATGTTGATTAAAATTAACATATTCATTTTAGTCTATACATGCATTATTGATCTTTAAAAGATTTATCTTTTAAATATCAATAATGCATTTAGGCTTTAGCCTAAACCAATGTCCCAATATTTTAAATCGCCATAACCACCTTCAGTAACCTAAGCAAAAAAGATGTATAAGTAAAAAAATTTTGTTTTTCAATAAGATAATTCAACTACCATCCATCCTCACGGAGTTCTTCAAAATCTGTACATATGATAATCAAGTACTAACCAGTCACTGAAAATTAAGTAATTTTGTGCAGCTCACAAGGAGACCTGTGGCATGTCCAATTGGAACACTGTGCTTTACACGATGCTCGTGTTGGAGCTGTGCATAGTTCTGCACATATTCATTGAGGCTGTGTACTCTGCCACCATTATGGTCACTACGGCAATGAGGTAATTTATTTCGCTTATTGAGAACTGGCCAATAACTGGTATCCGTTGCTTGCTGTCAGTATAATATAATATAAAAAAAAAATATAAAATACAAAGAGTGGATGGTACCTAGTGGTGGTATTATTAATGCATTTTCATTTAAAAGTTATATTTGATTTGATTTATTTTAAAACAAAGAATGTTAATATTTCTTTTGTATTCATTGTATTAGGTTCGTAAAGCCTAAATTACGTTCAGCTAAAAGGTAACACGACATTCGTTGTCTGTTAGGCGGTACGAAGTTCGACGGGTCAGCTAGTTTGGATACAAAAGAAAAAATTAGATAACTCTCGCATAATATGCTAGTTACACTTTGAAAGCTTCACTTACGTAGATACTTGGTGAGGAACATTGAGATATAGCGACATTTGTGTACACGTCCGCAGAGAAGACTACGACGCCTGCATTGCAGATGTGACGAACTTTCTGATAAGGAATGATGTGGAACCAGTACTGAGGCAGCGTTTTATAACTTACCTTCAGCTATGCTGGTACACGGATAAGGTAGACAACACATTATACACACCTTTGTCATGATAACTTTCTTTCGCATCTAACTCGATTTAATACGCCAGGATATTGACACTTTGTTAGTCTAGTAAAGCAAAAGTATTGATTAGTCTTTATTTACTTGTATTTATTAGTCTAGTCTAGAAATCAAGTCTAATATATCATGAACATTAAACTGAAAATTAAACTTTTAACTGTTCAGAGTTTAGTGAAGTCATTTTACTTCTTAACAATTTAGTAACTATAGAATATCACGACAGTCACGAGTTCTTATTTATTTTATGGAACTTCGCTATACATATACTGGCCAGCCGTGTTTCTAATACTTTCAAATCTAACAGGGATACTCGATAACGAACAAGAACAGTTCCATCTACCACGATCTGCCGCCGCACGTATATCAGGATATCGTCAATAAACAACGCAGCAAGTACATTCTTTGTATACCTTTTATGAAGGTATGTGAGTTTTATATGGATTTACATGATTATGTCAGAGGGATTTTAACAAAGTTGGGGGGTCACCTGATGGTAAGCGGAGCCCATGAACACTCACAATACCAAGCGTTGGAGATGCGCTGCTAACAACTAATTGTGGCCTCTTTAAATTATAACCTAAATTTTAAACACCGAAAGCTGTCAAACGCTCAAACACAAAAGTATAAATACTTTTCCATCCGATCTTCAATTAAGCCCTGGGACCCGATATGTGATTAACCATGTACATTCCCAAAACTAGTTGAGTTGTCGGTTCTCCAATCTTTAATCGCGTTATCCACTCACCACACGAAACGCAAAAGAAAAAGGCATAATTGTACTGAATGCTGGCCTTCTGTAAAGTAGGTATGCCCTTTGTAGCAGTAGTGGCTGCATCCACAGCTTACATGACCTATACAGACATTAAAGAAGTCTTAGTGATTCATATAAACATTTCTCAGTACCTCAGCAAGGAAGACCTGAAGACCGTATCGACGAAGGCGGTTGTATTCTGCACATCTCCGAACGAGATAATACTGCATACTGGTGACGTCAGCAACGAAATGTATGTCATAAAGCAGGGCATTTGTGAAGTGAGTGCTACACCCTTCATTTTTTATTATAGATAATATACTTCGGGTATGCTCGATCATTCAGGCCAATTCGATGTTGTACCTCAGCGAGATTATTTTAGTTTAAAATTTTCTAAATCTTCCTTTTTAAAAAATTTGTTCTCAGATTAAAAGTTCCTAAACCATTTCAAATGTCAGTACTAGCCTAACTGACTTGCATTTATAGACGAATTTTTAGGTGAATAGAAGAGTCGAAAGATGTTTTAGAATCGAGAGAAATTGAAATCAAAAATAAGACAACTACATCCATTATATTAATAAACAATGTTTTAATTGTGTTATGAGAACGTGTATCGCAAAGAGAGAATAAATATAAAACGTTTGTTTTTTTTAATAAGCTACTCATAAATTATACTACGAACATAATGTTCCCATTCAATTTCATTTCGTATGGTATTTCGAATTGTATCAATATGCTTTATACATACGAAAGTATGTTATTGTCATGCCTGTGAATCAAAGAATTGCCAATTTTTCATTTCTAAAATGACGTTCTGACATATTTGTAGATAATAGATCCGGATACAAAAGAAGTAGTTCACGAACTCCGTGCCAGGAATAATTTCGGCGTGCTTGAATGTTTGCTTCGTGAGTTGCCTTTTAGTAATGATGCCCAACTAAATTTCATAACTGCTTTTAAGGACTTTATTTTAGTGAACAACGCAGTTATTTATTAAAATTCTAAATTGCTAACCCCAGCTTCATAACCACTTGACATAATCTAAGTTATGATATTTATTCTGCAACACCGTCTAGTAAATATAAGTTAGCGATCAGGTGGTTCACCTGGTTTCGAAGTGATTACCACCGCACATGAATATTCACAGCATTGCATTGCTGTATCCTTTCTACATTTAAGACGGCGGGCACAGGCTACCGCACTAGACAGAAGAAGTACAAAAGAATAATACTTTCACTTCATGCAGGTCTTCCGTGAGGTCGTTTTATTTGTATAAACGAAACAAATATTATGACACTGTCCTTAATTAGATAGTTTTTATGACATGATGACTGTCCACAATAGTCCAGCATTTTATTTAAAATTGATCTAAAATAGTTTTACTGACAAGTGACAACTCTGTTTTATTATAATAAACTACATCCCTTGTGGCTAGTAGACATCATAAATTTGAAAAATAAAATATTGAATTATTACAGATAATGCCTAGTATACACATACAAACAAACTTTACCTCCTTTACCTCCTCAAAGCCAAAGTATCTAAGCTCTTATTGAAGGTCAACAAAAAAACTACCACCGGTTCACTAAACTAGACCTGAACTGAGAAGAACCGACAAGAAACTTGTTAATATTATTATATTATCAAGTTTCTTGTCGGATATCTATATAGACATAGATTGATGTCATGTTTTTTTTTAGGTCTGCCAACTTTCTATACGGTGCGTGCCGTGACCCACGTGCAAATGTTCTCCATATCAAGGAAGTATTTACTGAATGCCATGAAATACCGCAGATTAGAGATGCCATCGATTTTGCCAAAGAGCAGCCTGTGAGTTGGGCCAACCCTAATTGTATATATAATACTGTAGTGTTGTTTTCGTAATATTATGTAATAGCTTCTTATTAAATGTAAGATTTTTAATGCTTAAATTTTTTGTAGTGTTCGTATTGCAAATTATGACTGGTATTTTATCGATTTTAGTTTTGCTTTTATCTTCTCTAGTTTGCAACTCTTTACATACGTTTGACGTGTTTATTTACATTATATTCAACGCGGGCTATCGTCAAGTTTTGACTATTTGTTTTATCTGATAATATCCAGAACTTTCCTTCTTCCAGTTGAACTTAATATCACCAGTTGGGTCACAACTAAATCGTACTTATCTACAGGAGTTCGGCCGCCTTCTAGTGCGTAGACAACCATTCATGTCGTACAAGCCACCGGCACCTGTTCCCAACGTCGAGCGTTTCCGCCTTCCTCGTAAGCACGAACAGGATCACGCCTTCCTGCAACCCTTCAAGAAGCTCGGTTTTATGTCCGTCCTTAGGTTACGTTTAAAATTATTTTCTCTAAATACCCGTGAGGTCTTTAATTACCTGTGGAAATCACAGGAGTGCTGCGCTTTACATGAAATTTGTGTCTGGTAGAGGTTGAGAATGAATAAATAACTTTCCTATGTGCGATTCCATGAGTATTGGAGGGTTCTTACGATCTTTTTCAACACGTTAGAGATACATATGGCGGCGTCTTCTGTTGCATTATTGGGCTGCCTCAAGCTGCCTGAACGTACATGACCAGCATGACTGAAAAAAGTCATGAGCACTGATCAAGCAAATCATTGCTCTTTTGCCACATAAAAAAAAGAGAATTCTGGAACAATCTGAGTCTTTTTATAGCACCGTTTTTGCATGATCACCATCACAGAGTATGCACATATATATCCCGGTGGCTTTGCCATGGCAACTGTACTATATTGTGATCGCTATTTCTTTTCATACATCGGTCTCTTAACCACCATTATGAGACACATAACATAGTGGCTGTTACGGGACTAGTATAATTTCCTCTGACAGGTACATGTTTCCGCGATTCACGATCCGTCCCGACGGCGAGTACCTGCTGCGCGCCGAATGGTGTCGCGGCTGCTGCGCTCTGCTCTCTGCACTGATCATTCCCGGCTACCCTTACCTCTCGACACATTCCACGTCACTAGACTTTATGGTCTTCATGCTTGACTGCACCGCATATTTTGACATGTTAGTATTACTGATCAGCAAGTCTTCTTTCGTTTTTTTTTATTTTGAGAAGGTGGCAAACGAGCTGACGGTAAACCTGATGTTATGTGATAACCGTCGCCCATGGACATTTGCGACACCCAAAGGTGTTAAACGCGTTGCCATCTTTGAATAAAGTGAGCCCCGGCTGCCTCACTCACCAGACGAAACGCAGAAGTGTAACACTTCTACTTTACGCCGGTCTTCGGTGAGGTCGTGGTACTTAGCCGGACGGACCTGCCCATTCGTGCAACAGTATTGCGTGGCCCTACCGCCGTGAAATGTTTCTCCTGTCGTTATTCCACCTACATGCGGTTTGCACAACATTGGAATCATATTGCTAATGGTATAGAATTTTTTACGACCGGTCACCTGCCTGCCATATGACTCACCTTGGGGAAACCCAGATCCGGAACATTGTAACAAATACTGGTCCCGTGTGGCAATGGAGAGCCACGACCCCCGAGTAATAACTAAAGTTAAATATTCAAAGCTCTCAGCTTCTGTATCGTCGTACTTTTGCCAATCAAGCCGCATTAGTAGACTTACTTTACAGCTTGCAACGTATGCTCGTGGGCTACTACAACGTGAGGGGCACTCTTGTATACCACCCCCTCAGCACTGCCGATCGCTATATCCGAGGAGCATTCCTAGTCGACCTCTTCGCCTGCTTACCGCTGGAGATGCTGGAGACTGTTGTCAAAGAGCTATATCGTAATTCATTCTATATTTATTACACAGCCGTACATCTGACAACAATCGTACAATTCTTTAGTATATAATAATTGATTGATTTTTCTTTGCTTTGATAATATTTATTAATAACGATTAGGCATGTAGCGATAGTAAGATAGCATTTATTAATAACATTTAGGTTACTCCACGAAGTTACTTGGCCTCACAGAAGATTAGTGTATAGTGGTAGTATATAATACTTTTGCCTTTCGTTTTGTGAGAGAGGTAAAAAGAACGCCAGGTTAACTTTTCTGACAAGGTTATCGACAAAATCTGTACTGAATAGAGAGGGATTTCTCATGTAGAGTGTGGAGGTGGGAGAGTAACTTCGAAATATTCAGATCGTGAGAACTCAAGCAACATTTATCCAACGCTAATTCCAAATAAATTCTCTCCAAACCTGTAAATCAATCTGTGCCATGGAGATATAAATAAAAGTAAACACTTCGGCGAAATAAATACAGGAAGATCAAGATGGGGATAGCGTTGTGATTCAGTATATGAATATCTTTGTGAATAAAATAGAACGTCTAACCAATTGAACGTCTAGCCCTTTGACCGATGAAAAACAAACGCGGCTGTTTTGCATACTTGCCTTATTAATGTTATGCTTCTGTGGCACAGCGGACAGGTATCGAATAACGGTGGCCGTTCAGTACCTGGTGTTGAATAGACTTCTGCAGCTGTACCGGCTCCCTGGCGCCATACAGGGTCTCGAGCGTTACATGAGACGGGACATTGTACTCGTGTATGTTTCGCGCCAATATTTAGTGAATTGTAGTTTGGTATCAACGCAGTGAATCTTATTTAAGATGTTATCTTATTTAAGGTGATGAGGGGCTGCTTTAAAAAATGCAGGAATATCAGTTAATTCTCAGTTAGTATAGTTCTTGACACGTAGATTCTGTACTTTTTGTAGTGTATAAACCTTAACAGGTTGGATCTAGCTGTAATGATTTTAAGCCATAAATGAAAGTTATGAAATATGTTTTTGTAAACACACGTAAACAAATTCGGTGTTTTCATCTCAAATATTTCTTAAATTCATTGTGAAATATGTTATCGGTTGTTTTCTTTCATCATTTCTCATAGCAAAATTTGGTAGACTGATAAAACACTAATTTTAAATACTATACCTAAAATTTACTGGCTATATGCATGTAGCTGTTTGTGGTACCGCAATGGCGCTCCCAGTTGTTGAATGAAGCGCCGTGGACGCATGCACTGCGCACTTTAATTATTATATGGGACGTAGATTTATTTTTGTGTTCTCTGAGTGAATTCAAAAAGGTTGCCACCTTTGTTAATTTGTTGTGGATATAGTTAATAAGTTTTTTTTGTTGTTCATTGTGTTCTATTGTATTAGGTTAAGTACCTGTAATGATAGTGTAAGGTTTTTTAAATAAATAAATAAAAACTCTTTCTACGCTTACATGTGAGAAACTCTTAATTGGTCTTTTTTATTTGTTTACTAGCTGAACCAGCAAAGGTTCTTTTGCCATACGAATTATTTCTAGGGAATTTGTGAATCTGAACACATAGAAAAAGAATTTTCGGAACGCACCAATAAAATGTTTGACAGGAACAGTTTGTATGGGAAAATAAAATTGTTGCTGTTTCGATTTTCCATGCAATTTTTCCATAATTTCTCATCGTTTAAACCTTCCCTGGACGGTCACAAATATTTCAAAACCAAAATTAGCCAAATCGGTCCAGCCGTTCTCGTGTTTTAGCGAGACTAACGAACAGCAATCCATTTTTATATATAAGATTTCAACTGTTATTTTAATTTATTTACGTTTCCTACACTTACAGCATCAAAGCCACTCCCCTGTTTCTCGGTTTACTGAACGTGATGACCTGCTTCCTGGTATTCTACTCTGTGGATATCTACATATCGATGAATAACTACACTACACTCATCATACCGCGACAGGACCACGGCGGTTCCTGGGTCAACTTGTTTCAACAGAATTGTTAGTGACGCACTTTTTTCTTGGATCATCCGAATTCATTATTATCATCATCCGCTTAACGGTGAAGGAAAACATCGCGAGGACACATGAATATTTTCAAAATAATGACAAAAAATATTTCAAAGATGTTTGAAGTCTGCCAATCTGTACAGTGGAGGCTTTTGCCCAGTAATAGTACATGTATAGGCTGATACTTTTCTTTACTAAAGGTCGGTACAATATCGTAAGTTATGTTCACACAAAGCGATCACTGCCAGTTCCCTTCTGTTGTACAATTCTCTGATGGAGCCTCCCACTCCCTCCCATTCAAAGTAGGGAAATTTATTGGGTTTTGGAATATCCTTCTTTTGACATTTTCATGTATTGCTTTTAATTCTCTAGTCCGCTTCAATTTGACCGAGAACACATGGAACTTACACCTCGCCTGTTACTTTTGGGTGGTATACGAGGCCACCACCACGGGATACAGCTCTATGAACCCCAGCAACCTCGACATCATGAAGATGCTCTTCACTGGGATGGTAGTTGGTAAACTAAAGCTGCCTCAATAACTTTGTTACTGTTACAATACTGATAATGTTCACTATTCCATTATTAATGCGAGTTCGTGTTTTTGAACAGATAAAAAATCAACAATAACTAACAATTTAACTTAGCAGGTGCAATTAATTAACTCTAATGAAACCGTTATCGTTGTACAAAATCAAACATAAAATGTATGAATTTTGCAAATTGGTTTCTTCTGGAGACATAAAATGTTTAAGCTTATTGTGTATTTAACTGTGAATCGAGTGACGACCTGTGCAAGTGTGCGGGAAGTTAGTTGATGCAGGTGGCTCAGGATCCTGCTTCGTGGCAGTTTGTGGAGCCTGTTTGAGTCCACTGCTGAACATAGGCCTCCCCCATAGACTGCCATGAAGTACGATCCTGAGCCACCTGCATCCATCGACTTCCCGCACATTTGCACAGGTCGTCACTCCATCTAGTGGGGGGTCGTCCCACACTGCGATGGCCAGTACGAGGCTGCCACTCGAGAACCTTTCTTCCCCAACGGTTATCGGTTTCTACGAGCTATATGGCCGGCCCATCGCCACTTCAGCTTGCTAATCCTCTGAGCTATGTCGGTTATCTTAGTTCTACTGCGGATGTCTTCGTTACGAACTCTATCACGCAGAGAAATACCGAGCATAGCCCGCTCCATAGCTCGCTGAGCGACTTTGAGCTTCCTCATACGGCCAGCAGTGAAGGACCATGTCTCGGTTCCGTAGGTCATCACTGGCAACACACATTGAATGAAGACTTTAGTCTTCAAACATTGAGGTATATTCGACGAGAAGATTTGCCGCAGTTTCCCGAACGCTGCCCATCCGAGTTGAATTCGCCGATTGACCTCTGCGTCGAAGTTGGACTTACCTAGCCGGACTAACTGTCGTAGGTAAACGTACTCGTCAACAACTTCGAGCTCAGTGCTCCCACAACAACCGGTATAGGCGTGACATGGACATTAGACATGATCTTCGTCTTGTCCATGTTCATCTTAAGGCCCACCCGTTGGGAGACACTGTTGAGGTCATTGAGCATAGCACCCAGGTCCTCCAGCGATTCTGCCATGATGACTATATCGTCGGCAAATCGAAGGTGGGTGATGTATTCGCCATTGATGTTAATACCTCTTCCTTTCCAGTCCAGAAGCTTGAAAAACATCTTCCAACGCAGCGGTGAAGAGTTTCGGGGATATGACATCACCCTGTCTTACACCCTTCTGCAGTTGGATAGGTTTTGTACTACTGGACTGTACTTGGACGGACATCGTAGCTTTGTTATACAAACACCGCAGCACTTCGATATACCGACAGTCAATTTGGCACCGCTGAAGAGCCCGGAGTACCGCCCACATTATCGCCTTATCGCGTTATCGCCTTTCTTGAAGAACAGCACCACCACACTTCTGCTCCACGCCTCTGGTGTAGCACCACCCTGAAGGACGGAATTAAAGAGCCTCTGAAGGACTACAAGTACCGGTTCTCCACCCGCTTTCAGAAGCTCTGCTGTAATTCCGTCGTCTCCCGATGCTTTGCCATTCTTAAGATGGTCAAGAGCCATTCTAATCTCGCTCAAACTGACGTCCGGGATATTCTCGGAATAGTGTCGGGTAAGCTTTGCTCTTGGGTCGTTACTCACACATGTGTGTAGCTCCAACGACGATGTGTACAGCTGTCCATAGAACCTCTCAATCTCACTCAAAACCTCTGGTCTACTGGAGATGATAGCCCCGCTGTCAGTCTTCAACTTACTCAGTTGGCTTTGTCCGATAGACAGAATTCTGGCGAAGACTTTTGAGCCTAGGTTCCGCTCTATAGTACCCTCAATACGAGCTGTATTGAAGTTGCGTAAGTCTCGCCGCATGTATTTGGAGATCTGCCTATTAAGCCGCCTGTAGTCTGACATGTCAGTTGAAGACTGCAGTCCCATCTCACGTCTTTTTCCCAAGAGGCTAAGAGTGTGATCGGAGAGTTTTTGCGTTCTATTTGTGCGGCGGGCCTTATAAAATTTAAGGCCCACGGCATGGACAGTTTCCACTAGCTTAGCGTTAATATCGTCCACAGAGCTGCAACTTTCTTTCTAGGCATTGGAAGCGATTATGTAGCTCGAGCTGAAAGCTTTCGGAGTTCTGGATATGGGCACGAGATGGTCGGAGTGTGGACTTCATTAGACGAGATCTTTCCAGCCTGATGTTAATATTCAATGTGCCTCTCACCATTCGGTGATCACTGCCGGTCTTCACCCTTGTGATCACAGAGACATCATTGAATATTTGCCGTTTGTTCGTCATAATGAAGTCTATCTCGTTTTTTACGGAACCATCGGGGCTAATCCTGGTCGACTTCCTGTGGGACTGCTTTTTGAAGAAGGAGTTCATCATAAAGAGTCCCTCCTTCTCCATGATGTCAGCCAGCTGCTGCCCCCTTGGGTTCCGTTGCCCTATTCCAAAACTACCTACTCTCAGCTCATCGTCTTTCCTTTTGCCTAGTTTTGCGTTGAAGTCTCCCATTAACACCATGTATTGAGTTTTGGAGGCATGTATGGCTCGTGATATATCCTCATACATTGCCTCCACCTCATCATCGGGATGTGTCGACGTTGGTGCGTAAACCTGTATGACCTTCAGCGAATACCGATTGGATATTCTGAGTATAAGGTACGCAACCCTCGACGACACACTCTCGATTTTAACAACGTTTGTTAATGAGAGACTTGTGGACGATAAATCCGACACCTCCTAGGGACAGTTGGTCGCCCTCCCGGTGGAAAAACAGGTTGCCGGATTCGAGGATTATCGTGTCCTCCCCCTGTCTTCGGACTTCAGATAATCCTATTATATCCCAGCGCAGCCTGTTCACCTCTTCTTCCAGCTCTGTAATCTTCTCGTCAGTCCTCAATGTTCTTGCGTTGTATGTTGCCAGGTCTAGTCGCCGAATCCTAGCCGGGGATTCTTAGCACCGCCTGCCCTGCCGTTACCATGACCGCTACCGTAGCCAGGAATAGCAGGGTTGCCGGGGACTGGGGGCCGCACATTTTGGACTTCTATCATAGGTTGTGCCATAGTTGCCACGCCTGGCAAGCGGATTGGCAACCGCAGTTCCTCCAGACTCCTCGCACCTATAACGCTGCTGCCCGTTATTGGCCTGGGTATTTAGGGTCTGGAGAGTCAAGATGGTTATCCCGCCATCTATCGGTGGCCACCAGATGTTTGTGGCTTGTCCCTTAGTCGCCTCTTACGACACCCACGGGATGAGATGGGGTGGCTTATTCTTACGCCGGCACCACACGGCCAGTTTTGTTTTAACATTTATATTTTTTTATGATTATTGCCAAGTAGCGTTAGACGTGTGGTCAATTATTGTCGCGGTTGTAACGCCACACTGTATAGTTATATAGCCATAATATATGTTTGAGTGAAATCGTTTTACGGATTATTTTACGGTTAAAAGGTTCGAGACATAGCGAATATAAAATTTAAAATAAAACGTGTCAAAATCCGTAAATTGTTTTCATTCAACGTGCAGTTAGCTATCCAGCTCTTCAATTACCCAGGTGCAATGATCACGACCTACTTCTCCGTTCGCATAATCAGCATACGATCGAACGTAAACAACCCACTAGCCGCCTTCCAGCAGCACATGAAGGACATGGCCGCATTCATGCGCAGGGAGAAACTGGGCGCGGAGCTGAAAAGGTACTCGAGTAGATTTTTTAACATTTTTTTATTTTTTTTTAATTCAATACTGGCCAGCACTTGACTGCCATCCCACCTTATGGTAAGTGGCGATGCAGCCGATGATTTTAAGCGCGCTAGCTCAGTAAAAACCTATTCACTCTTGCCTTGAAGACGCCTACGTTGTAATCGGATGGAGAAGTTATACTTCTTTTGGCGCGTTTGGTAATAATTATGAGTGTAAAATTTTTTCGATGAGCGCGCACAGCGAAACTGAAATGATGATTTCATAGTATTACCAGTTTTTTTATGTGACAAGGTGTCAAGCGAGCTAGCGGTTCACCTAATGTTAAGAGATTCTTCCGCGCGTACATAAGTACACACATACTTTTTTTTAAATTGTAGACACTTTTGACAGAAGTTTATATGGTTGCGTGACGTTCGCCTGAGGGACCTTAGTTCCCTCACTCAACAAAACAGCTTCCGAAGCCGTTTGTGGACCAGCTCGACCGGGGAAAAACGAAACGCTTAAAGTGAAAACGTCTGGAAATGTCATTTTACCGCTAATCAGCGATGACCTCGGGTAGGAATTTTGCAGGGACGTGCTCGCCTATTACGCATGCAACTGGGAAAAGACCGGTGGCCAGGACTACAGGCACGTGTTGAAGCTGTGCGACCAGATCACGCTACGCTCAGACGCCATACTGCACATATATGGTCCAACGTTTGCTATGGTAAATTGACTGAAAGCAATCTGGGACTATCGTGCTCTTGTTTAGTGCATCGATTGTCACTGTGAAAGATATCATTATTAATTCCTTATGCACAAATATTACGAGTAAAAGAAAAATTCCGCAAATTAAGAAAGTTGAGAATTAAAGTAAATTTTGGTACTTACAAGTTTACGCGAAAATCTAAATTTGCCCATATCTTTTTTGGGTTTGACTAAGGACCTTGATTTTTATAGACTATCTAGTATAAATTTCAACTTGCTAGTTCCACCCGTTCCTGAGAAAATGATTATTATTAACCAATTTTATTATGGCGGAAAGGTATATAGGTATGGAACCCTCCGCATACGAGTTCGGCTCGAACTTGACCGGTTTTTTACTCGTGGCAATAGCGAAAAGTTCCGCGACAGTTTTACCTACACATTTTTAAGTTTCATCTAAATTACAGAGAGTCGTACTACTGCGCTAATAATAATTACAAAAAAATAAGTTTGCTCGAAGAATAGAATTTCTAATAAATTTTCAACTAGGGGCTTTCCATCGCAGCTAAGAGCATATTTTCACATAGCCACTTCATTATAAGGTGGCAACGCGTCTGCAAACCTACGGGTTTTGCAAATGTCAATGGGCGGTGGTTATCAGTGGTGAAGCTCGCTTGCCAACTTTTCACATAGAAAAAAATTCACCGTATCTCCGGCAGTGTCCAATCCTCGGCCAGTGCGACGTATCGCTCCTGCGCATCATAGGCCGTGCCATGCGCAGCGTCCACTTCTTGAAAGGCACTCGTATCGTCGAGAAAGACGATGTTATAAAGGACCTGTGCTTCCTGGACTCCGGCACCGTGGAGCTGGTCTCTGACGAAAGGGATCCCTCGAAGAATGTTAAATTGACTAAGGGCAGGTAATGGATGGAACGGATATTTGATAGAAAATCTTTTACTAATTACTAAGTCTGCAGCGAGTGCACCTCGGGTTACATTAGTGAAGTTTTAGTAGGAATCCCTAGTTTTTCTATTAATTAATTCAGTCTATGTTACTCTGGGATAACGTAGTACTCTAATGGTCGAAGAAATTTTGAAGTAGATCCAGTGGTTTTTGGGTTTATTCGTTAGAAAAATACGAATCTTTCCTCTTTATAATATCATAAACTAATATTAGTATAGATTAAAATACTCATTTTGTTTCAGTAGTATACTGTTCGCTTTTACAGAAGACACTTCTAACTTGAAGATAAACACAAAACTTAAACGTAAATTATTAATCACATCTTATTGTGACAAACTCAACAACAGTATTTATACCTACCCATTTTTTTTTCTGGCAGTATATTTGGTGACTTGGATGGAGAACCATCATATCGATCGCCCGTGCATCTTATATCGACCAGCAAAGTCCACGTGCTTCAGATGAACGCTATGGCTTTTTATACCATCATAAGGGACTTTCCTGACGTCGTTCTACTATTGAAAACTTACCGACCAAACAATGAGGTTCTACCATTCTCTTTGCAACTTACTCGCATTAGGAATTCCATTTAAATTAATTTTTTAATTAAAAATTGTGTATTAAATTCCACCGCAGTTAAAGATCAGCCATGTTCATAATGTGAATTCTTATGAATTATTTTAATTCAATTGCTTGCTTCAAAAATTTAGGACCCTCAACGGAAAAAAATACGATTGCTTTGTTATCAAGTTTTCCAGTTTACGGATAAAAGGGTTTGCTCCGTCGTTCATATAGCGAACAGTAAATTATTAAAACAAAATTGCCAGTGTCCATTTCCACACCCTATTTTAATGTAATACGCACGTATAAACGTCTTCAACGCAAGAGTGTATATGCCCGTATTGATTTCAACACCTACGACTACACGACTGTAGAACCACTTACTATCACGCGGGACATCAAGCTATAAATAAAGCTATAAAAAGATTATCTAGCCTATCGACAAATAGTTAATGTTCATTCGTTTATACTGGAAAATGTTATTTTAAAAGTATTACGAACTTTTTAGAATTACATACTGGGAAACTTGAGCGAGGATTCACCAAAGGTTAAGAACTCCACTCTCACCATTAGTGCTCCGTTGCGGAGACCAAAGGGTCTCTTCAAATACCTCCGCCTCCGCAACTCCTACGTCCAATGGTATCTGATCGTCGTTTCGCTGCTCTGCATCTACGGCGACCTCTACAACGCTGGCTTCCAAGACAACAGGACACTGTTGGTCCTAGCCCTGTACTCTCTAGACGTCGCGTTCAGCCTTAAGTTCTTGATCCTCTTCGTAACGCTGTCCGTTTCTGGAGACGGTAACATAAGAAGAATTTCGCTGAGCAAAAAAAGGTACTAGGACATGAAAGGATTTTCCTTTCTTTAAATTTAATATTTCGTGTATTTGCCTTTAAATTTAATATTTCGTGGATATAAATCCAAGGATAGGTGAACTTTCAACCTTGAGAGTTGCTATAAAAAATGTTTAATATTTATTTAAGTAATACGCCTATAAGGTCTCTTACTCGTGTGATGCTTTGCTAGTTTGTCGATGGCTTTTCATTGCTAAACGATCGTTTTTAACGTAACTGTTGACAGCCCCGTCCTATTTTTCAGGTGTTGCAAAACCGAGACCAAATGCGATATCCTGTCGTGCATTCCGTTGGAGTTATTCTGTTTTGTAACTGATGAATACCGGGGACTGCTGTTTTCGTTTTGCCGTTTGAATAGACTTCTTAGATTGGTAATTACTATTCGTTTTATAATTTATAATAAAATTAAAAAAAAAACACTGCCCTTACTTTGGTATAACATTATCCTGTGTTGTAAGGACGTTTTTTACAAACATAAATTTCTAAAAATACCTAATAGTACGTCAAATAGGGTCAAATGAAGGCTTATTGGCGTGAAGAGCGAACGGAGTGGCGGAGGACTTCTGTTTAGGAATGTTCAACCAGCACATTATACTCCTTGATATATAAATATATATTTGGAATTGTTTGGAGGTAGGCCAAACGGATCGAGTTGTATCTTCGAAACGTTAACCGTTACTTATTTTAAGTCATTACCGCCGCTAATGGAGATCTACAACACCTTATGAAAAGATGCTAAAGCATCTGCAACCTTTCGGGTGGTGCAAATGTCAATGCTTCGGGTGTTGCAAATGTCAATTGACAGTGGTTAACACTTGATATCAGTTAAACCGCCAGCTCGTGTACCACCTTCTCACATAAAAGAAACCTGGAGGACCTGAGACATCGTGGTACTAACGCAAAGTACGCAAATGGAGAGTCCATTCATTTGTGCAGCTTCCCAATAGCAGAAGATGTTGTGTGGCCCCACCACAGTTTTCAATATGCAACTCCTAAAATTTTCCCAGTTCCCTTCCCTTCCCTCGCACGGTTAATTTGAGTTGTTTAAAGAAAAACGGGTTTAAAGACAAGTTATTTTCTAATCGGTTCTCAAGTAAGCGGAATATTGTTATTGCTCCTACTCGTACAGGTTACTGTGTACGCTGGTATCAGGCGTCACCACGAGCGTCTCTCCATAGACATCTCGCTGACCACAATATACTCGGTGTTGGTGTGGTTCACGCTTCTGGTGCACGGCACTGCTTGCTTGTGGCACTTCATCGGCTACGTGGAGGACATCGCGAAGCCCAACTCCTCGTGGATGTACAAAGGTGTTATTTAATTTGGTGATGGGCCACAACTTGTATAAGTGAAGATTTAAAACTTCTGAGTACCACAAATGTAGGCATGTTATTTAATTTGGTGATGTACCACAAATCGTATAAGTTACGATTTAAAAATTCTGAGTACCACAAATGTAGGCATGTTATTTAATTTGGTGATGTACCACAAATAGTATAAGTTACGATTTAAAAATTCTGATGACCCCAATTGAAGGTGAGTGGAGACTGTCTGAAGCATCATCACCGCACAAACATGTTACTGTCTACAGTCTTTAATCTGCTGTTGATGTGCCACGCAGCAATTTCTGCTGATTAGTTCGATTCCACCTAGGAACTACTGGGGACACAGGAAACCAGCGTAAAGCATAGATAAGGTAGGCTCAGCTTCAAGTCTAGCAAAAGACATGCACGTAATTTTCTGTCAGGTTAATCACTTATGAATCAAGTTATGACTTTCATGTGTTCGATATAACACTTGCATTTTGATTGTCCCAGTGCACGACATTGAGCAGGAATGAATTTGCAATGTTAGTCTTTTCGCAGATATAAACTGATTTTGTGGCATAAATAATCACTGTTTACGTACGAAGCAGTCCAGGGTGGCGCCGTGACGACGCAGCGCCGACGAAAATACGCACACTTTACTTTGCACTGTTTTTCACGATGGAAATTTCAATGTTTTTTTGGTTCCGCAACTCGAAATTAAGAAATTATGGATAAAATAATTTTGTAACAGTACTCCATAATAAAAATCGTAAACATCTATCCACTTTTATTGTTGTATTTTTAGTTATATTAAATCAAATCGCTATTGCCATTTTTTTAATTTTCTGACTGCCGAAGGTCGCACTTTACGTTCTGAGTTTGAATTTATAAAGAACGAGTAGACTTTAATTTAAAAAAAAACTAAAAAAACCAGACTGCGTTTCTGTGTAATTTTTTATTTTGATATACCGAGTGCACTAAAGACTAGCACTGTCACAGTTATTTACTTAACAAGCTTAAATCCGTCAATCCGTTCAGACTGCAGAGCGTGCCAATCATTTATACATACATACTCTCGAGAAACATAAGCCTCCATCTGGCGCATACGGCTAAAAACGGTAATACGTAAAACTAGACCTTTGTAATTATATGTGATCGCATTCTAAGCTGCTACTGTCTGATTATTTCCTAGACGACGGCAGTTCGTGGTGCAGAAATCTTTACGTCTGCTCGCTGTACTTCGTGATAACTACTTGCAGTCAAAATGGCGTAGGCGACATAATGCCGAAGAATAAATCCGAGGTATTTTGAACATGGACCCGATTGGCGTAGTGGAGTATGTTCATCAGTATCTAGTACCCGTAGTACAAGCGTTGCTTAGTTTGTGGGACTAGAGAACGTTGTGTAAACATGTGTCACGAAATATTTAAATTTATTTAACATCAGGGAATAATAAACAGTTCATGATAATAGTTTCTGTGCGGACGCCGCGACGTCAAAGACGATGCGAATAACAGCTCTTGTCTTTTTAAAAGATGTTTACGCTTTGACGTTTAACGTATGTATATGCTTTAACGTATATATATACTTTTACGTATGTAAAGCTTCTTTGAACATTGCCCGTATAAGTAAAGGATTTAGTGCCAACGGGCTCGTTGAGAAACTACTTTCAAGTTAACATGAGCGTGCTTTTATTGGGGTAGTCAACTACCACAGTCGACAACCCTACTGAAACGGGTTGTCAAACTACCACTGTAGTTAAGTTACCCTTCGGCATGCTATGTGACACGTATGTAGTATTATCTACCCTCTATTTGCTCACTAGATCCCATCGGGTAAAGCTTATTAGTTTACTGCGACAGCGTCATGCAGCGAAGTTAACGGTTGCATTTTTGGTTCGAGGAACACGTCATAAAAGTAGACTTATTTATTTATTTTATTTAATCATCATCATCATCCTCCTGTCCTTATCCCACCTAGTTGGGGTCGGTGTTTACGGTTATTCAATGAATTTTATAATTTTTTATTAGTTTAACTTGTGTTTCGTCCGTTGTGTGAGATAGTCCGAGGCCCTCTTATAGGATACACAACACCAACGATCGTGGTGCTAAGAGTGCCCATATGCGATGATTTGTTTTTTTAAAACCAATAAACGCCACATTTACCAGTTCTTTAAAAAAATTGTAGGATAGCCAAGCTGTTGTCAAGTAATAGGATTTTACCGATCCTCTATTGTTGTAAATGTTCTATCAGGATTTATTGTTTGCAGACCCTTCGATAAATGAAATCAACAGAATACTTGTTTATACATAAACGAACTTTATCACCTTGTCATTCATGGCTTCATCCAACAGTGTATACAATATGTATATCGACACTGTTATTTATCTGATGTGTCGGTTTAAAATATATTTAATTATAGTATAAACTGGAGATGATTTAAAAATAGTGATAGGAATTTAAATAGTAGCTGTTTGTTTACTGTCGAAACGCCTCCTACCTATACCTACAGTTCGTCGACATAATACCTGGCAGTGTGACAGAAGCCAATGCATCTGTGACGCGCGCCCTGTTTATTTGAACCGATCAAATAAGTATTCAACGTTGAATAAAATCCATTGCCCTTTGCTAAGCCGGTTTTGTATGTAGCTGTCACAATGAAGATCTTTTTTTGGCACCGCTTTTAAATTTGAATAAAAATAAATCACACTACTTATATTTTTGTACGCAGAGCAGTAAACATTGGACGCAGAGAAGTAAACATATGATAAGATTGTAATACTTTTATACTGACAATATAAATTACAATTAATTTAAAAATCTGACTGTGATAAAAGTCTGACTTTGGTACTATCCCGAAACGGAGGTGCCCATTTGTGTTATTTCTAATATTGCCGGGTAACGTTTTAGGTATTGTTCGCGTCCATTCTCCAGATCATCTCCATCATGCTGTTCATGATTTACGTGGGCGAGGTCTCCAACATCATCCAATACCAGTCGTACCGCTCGTTCGACTTCTACTGCAAGTACCTGGAGCTGCAGGTACAGATAGTGGATTTAATACTTCCTAATCGTGGATTTAGTTTTCGCACAATAATCGATGGTAGGGCCACGCAGCAGCCTCGGCTGTTGCACGACAGTCTCGTCCGGGTAAGTACCACGACCTCACAGAAGACCGGCGTAAAGTGGAAGTGCGACATATACTTTCGTGTTTCGTCTGGTGAGTGAGGTAGCCGGAGCCCAATTTTTAAAAGGTTGTCAACGCATCTGTAACCCTCGGGTGTAGCAGATGTCCATTATTTTCCGGGCGGCGGTATTCACTTATCATCAGGTGAAAAGTCTGCTCGTGTGAATCTGAATTTTTTTATGTGAAAAGTTGCCAAAACTTTTCACATAAAAAAATTATTACAAGAGCATCTGGTGCGATCTATATATTTTATTTTATTGATTAGGAAAAAAAACAGCACTTACATAAAATAAATAGTACAATTACACACAGATGTGTGGGCCAATAAAGTTTTCACCACTAGCTATTATACACTTTGCATCAGAAGTATACAATTATAATATCTTATTTTAACGGTATTTAGATTTATAAAAGAAAAATGTTAAAAATGAGAAAAAAAAAAATAGATAGAAATACAAAAACTATATCTATAGCATAGCCTTGATAACGCTCTGCGCTCGCATCAAATTGCTTAATTAATTTTTGTCACAAGTTAAATATATTCAATGGAGGGATTATAAAAAAGATTGTGTATGTTATTTAACTTTATAAGTTATTTACCTGAATATACATAGGTAATTTTGATAAAAATTCTCTCACGTACTCCGTCCATCCTTTGCAATATATGTGCATTTATTAACACGTTCGGACACCGGCTTATTTAATACAATTTTGATTATAGTAGAATCTCTTTGATGTTGTGATGACCACCTTAAAAATTGTTTTCCATGATATATAAATAAAAAGCACTAAGAAAAGGACAAAATCATATATAACAAAACAAAAAAAAATCAATAATTGTTGCAAATCAAAAATTGAATACCAGAGAATTAAGAAAAAAAAATACTACAAAAAGTTTTAAATCATTAAGATTTGAATGTTGAATGTTAGGTAGACCCCCGCTTTAACGTTATTACTGATTGAAGAAAACAACACATAGCCCTTTATGCATGCACAGTAAAATTTCTACTACAACCATGCGTTGTATTCCGCCTATCCTTCACGTAAATGTTCGCATTTGAAAATCATCCGGTTTTTTTTTGTGCATAGGATTTTCTGAGGAACAATCGAGTTTCCAAGAACTTGGTCAAGCTGGTGAACAGGTACTCGTTGCACCTGTGGCGCGAGTCCCGTGGGGTGCAGGTGCCGCATTTCCTGAAGACTGCGCCCCACTGTCTCAGGCTAAGGCTAATGTCTGCTTCGTTCATGCAACACTTGAGAAATGTACGTAGTGCAGCTTGAATATTTCTAATTAAGTTGAAATTTATATCTGCTAACTATAAGTAGCTTGTTATTTTAAGGGTGAAATGTCTCCACTACAACTTTCTCAATAGCATTTACATAAAAGGTATATTAACATTCGCTTAAATAAAACCGTTTTACTGATTTTATACCCGTGACCATCCAAATCAAAAATCAAAATCAAATGTCTTTATTCAACATAGGAGTATTACAGTCGCTTATTGATAGTCAAAATACTACCACCGGTTCGGAAAAGAAAGCCACTGTGCTGAGAAGAACCGGCGACAGAAACTCAGCGGGCCTTTTTTTTATTTTTTTTGAAAGATGAAAAGGTTCGAAATGTCGGAAATTTAAAAATATTAAAACGCGATAAAATTCGCTAAGTGGTTTCATTTAATATATTCGGGTAAAATACAAGAAATCAATATATATTTACGTTAATAAATATTGACGATATATTCTAAACTGATTTTATAAGAACCATTTATTTCATTAGAACCTTATGTTTTAGAACTTGATCTTCAGTAACTGTGAACCAGCGTTCCTCAGACAGCTTGTTGGTTGCTTACGTTTATATACATACAACGAAGGTTAGTACGGGGAACCTCCATCCATAGCAATTTGTGATACGTGAAAATAACGAAATAATAAGACTAATAATTTCTTGTATTTACGCGATTACACATTATAAATGAAACTAATTTTACATTTTCATGGTCACGGGACAGAGTCTGTCCCGTGACCATGAACGCTGTAAAGGGTTCGAAACGTCGGGAATTAAAATTAAAAATAAACGCGATAAATCCGTAAAATTAGTTTCATTTATAATAATAAGACTGCTGAACTCAAGTCAAACCGGCGCACCAACTAGTTTCGGACCCATCAGAGCTGCTTCATCAGAGTGAGTGGGATTGGTAGGGCGTGAGCTCAGCAGTCTTATTATTTCGTTGATAATGTCTCACGAAAGTTTTAATAATTTTACGTGTAAATAAATTATTAAATACATGACAGAGGATTTAAGAAAAACCAAAACAACGTACCATATCATATTACTATATAAGCACAATTGTGCCCAGTTAAAGTACTTTAAATTATTAATGGATTTCTAATTTTAAGCAATAAAAACCAAATTGAGAATCGGTTATCTCCCCTTTCAGTAAGCACCAGTCAAATGTCTATCGTTAAATCTGACATGTTTTGTTGGACTGAACTAGATCCTGTTTCTATTGTTCCGTTTATCTGTTTCAGGCATGTTTGTCGTGAGGGAAAATGAAATTACGGATTCTATGTATTTAATACATGTAGGACGGGTATTGGAAAGTAATGAAGAAAATGATCGAACTAAAGTTTTCTACACTGGAAACTGTTTTGGTCAGGTAACCTATTTGATAGAATTTTGAGTATTCTTATCTGCAAAATAATAAAACATATGTTCCAATTTCGATGTTGGTCAACCCGCGTATGAGTCGCATGGTGGTATATGCCCTAATAGCCTCCGTTTAGAGAAGGCCTTAGTCCGGCATTGGGACATTTATAATCTGTTAGTTTATTTAGCTGATATCGCTTCGATATTAAACCAATACGGGACGTTCACAAATTATTAACGGTAATAACTAATTTTCAAATTTATCAATCAGTTACAGGGTCTGGTTCGTGAGCTTCCTTACACGAATTCGTATCGCACTATAACTAAATGTCAAATTCTCACCCTGCGACTGAACGATTGGGAAGATCTATTAAAACATTTTCCCCGGAGCAAGCGCACTATTTATGAAAATTTGGACTTCGATGATAGTGCTCCGAAAGCCTCGAAACACAAAAAAGAACGCAGAGTCACAATCATCAACCCTGATGATGAACCGCCTCCGGACCGTCCTAGAAGCAAGGCCAGAGAGTCATAATTTCGACTCCCGCTGCACATAAATATACGATGTCAAAATCATCAGTCGAAACTGTAGCGGAACAATCACCTTTCATTTCAAAAGATGACAAAGGTATAAGTGAGAACAAAATATCTGAATTTGCAAGAACTGATTTGACATTTGAATCTATTGAAATGAACGAAAACTTCCCACCAAATGTAAGTAACACAGACGTACATGGTGACACTAAAAGAAACGACGACAACATAATTAAGACGGATAAGAAGGGGCATGCGGTAACTGTTGTTCCATCGGTGTCGTCCACAGAGGCATTACAAAGCAAAAAATCTTCAGTGTTATCAGACATTCGCAGTCATAGCAGTCTCTCTTTCGACATGGATAGCTTGCTTCAGGTAGGAGAGAAAATTGATACTTCGGCTAAACCATCAGTCATCGACGTTACAAGGGATGACGAAGCAATTGAAATACAAGAGCGACTTGTGACCGAATTAAAGCTACAGGAAGTTGATAACGTCGACAGAGTATCTAGTTTAGATATGAAGAATGTCGATGAATATATACTTAAACGTCAAGAAGTGGAGGATTCTGTTATTATGAAGCAAAGAAATGAAACAACTAAACAAGACTTGGAAATAAAACAGGCGACAGCTGAGACTCCATCTACTTCACGCGGAAATAGATATTTCTTCCATGTTCATTATAAAGACGCCAATACCGATGATGACAGCGAGGATAGTTCATCCTATGAAAATTTAACGGGTGAAATAACGAATGAACACCAGCGAGATATAGTGAAGAAAGAGGAAAAGCAAGAAACAGACAAGGACGAAAAGGATGAAGAAAGTAAAAAGGAAAGCTATTCAAAAAAATGAGTGACGTGCCTTGTTTGCAATCTTTATTTTGTGGATAATTTCTGAATTAAATTTAGTTATATTGAATATCAAATTTCTGAAGGAAATGATGATGTGGTTATCACTATTATCTGTTACTGTCTTTAACATTATTATACGATCTGATTCTGTTATGATGTGTTCACTGTACTTCATGCTATTGGTAATAACCAATAAGTAATGATAAAAGGTATCGATTTAATGCTGATGGTCTTATTTTTTTGCATCCAGCACTAAATTTTAATTATTATCACAATTAAAATCAGATCTATTAATTAAATCTGACTTGAAAATCCGTCAGAATTTCATTGATGCGCTCCTAACCATTTGAATCACGTAAAACTTGCAGAGCACCTCATTAAGAGCTATGTGACAGTGCCAATTGATTTGACTAGACACACGCGACAGTTGAAATGAAACTATCAGTTACAAATAATGAAATCGCAAGTTTACGCCTCGACAATTATATCGTGCATTTCATTCACGGTTGAATGGCTTCCCGAGCTGAATTGCCACATCGCCGATTTGGAACGACGCCAAGCCTGGACTATTTTGGCGCATCGTTAGCGGTGGCAAACCGCCTCCGGCTGACCGTAGCCCGAAGTCCCGAGCCCGAACTCTGACTCTCGCTATTTTGGAATTCCTGATCCTCTCAGTAACACTGTATCAACGTATCAAACGTTTAGCGCGATTCGAATTCCGGCGTGATCATAAATTGTTTTCCTTTGTACGCCGGATTGATCCGCTACTGTTTGATCTCCGATATTAAATGATATATTGTGACTTTGTTCGGACGGTATTTTCGGTTGGGAGATTTATTGGGTTTGCATGTGATGGGAGAAATTAATATGTTCGGGAAAATTACCAAAGCCTAGAAAAACATTAAATGTTTTAGCGATAGTATTATTTTCTTGTATGTAATGTAATACTAATATATTAAAATTGTAAGAAATGTACTGCTATCTAAAGTTTGTTAAATATACGATGATACGCAGGACATTGACATTAATAAAGTGACATTAGGAAATAAAGTACCACGTTGTGTTACGTACATTTTTTGTTTAAAAAATACGGAACTTCATATACGAGATCCATATTTGTATTTGTCAATGTCAATGTCCCGCGAATCAACTTATATTTAACAGACTGTACATTATACCAATGCTAATTAGTCCACACTTGTCTGTCGGTAAGCACACTAGGCTAATCTAGCAGAGTTCATAATTTATAAAACAACACTTAGGTATAGGTGCGTGCCATCGAGATTTGAACCCGTGACATTGTCCATTCAAAACCGCCGTCCCCTGCATAAAACCTTCACTGATCATCATTAATATTACAATTTCACTTATATATTATAGTGGTCACTACTGGATAAAGTATTGACAGTAACCATAGATAAAAGAAACATCATGAATTACTTATATGACTTTATTACAAAACTCTTACAACATAACGATATAAATAATCTAAAGAGCGGTGATACGAAACGAGCAACAGTTATAAAGTTAAAACGCGTCATTTGAAATTAATTTGGAGCTTCAGGAAGATGTCTTTCTCATTTACTCTGTTTAGATGTGAGGCCGATTTCGTATGACCCCGTTAGTGAAGAGTTTGGTTAAATTGGAATGCCCAGCACTGTATTTGTTCATGGTTGGGTAATTTAATCAATGTCAACATTGCCGTCGGCGGTTTCTTGAGCTAGGTACTGTACGTTTTCTACGCGTTCCGGTCTAAAGTTATTTAAATGCTTCCATATGGCGACATTGCTTAACTTATATATTTATAACTTAGGCACTAAAGTTACGGTTTCTTAAATTATGTTCATTTTTTGACTATCCACCCGCCCATTCATTGGTCTCTTGAGTGTCCCGGCTCACCTGAAAAAGATATCATAAAATTATATTGCTGAGTCAATTGACTAAACACATTAACCTAAACTTGAGAGTCGTTTTTATTTTCGGTACTCGTAGTATATCTTCTACTTTGCCAATAACCAGCTAGAATTTGAGTACCGTCTCGTTATATATACAATTGTAAGCACTCAATAAATCAATCTAATAAATCTAGTATTCCATTCAAATCTTGTTCTAATGGCAATGAAATCCATTCGGTTGTAGGGCCACGCAGCAGCCTCGGCTGTTGCACGAATGGGCTGGCTCGTCCGGGTAAGTACCACGACCTCACAGAAGACCGGCGTAAAGTGGAAGTATAATACTTTCGCGTTTCGTCTCGTGAGTGAGGTGGTCAGAGCCCAATTTCCAAAAGATTGTCAACGCATCTGTAGCCCTCGACTGTAGCAGATGTCCATGGGCGGCGGTATTCACTTACATCAGGTGCTGACGGATCTGCAGCAGATGGTTCTGCTCGCTTGGCAACTTTTCACAAAAAAAAATCCAACGGTAAAAAACTAAGACCTGCTATATGCCGTTATGCCTTCTATGTAGTCATTTCTTCAAGCTTCATCGAACAGAATCTAGTCGTGCATGGTGGAAATAATAGTGACCAAATTTGCTTAAACCTTATATTATATTAGTTTATATTGCCTTCTTGATTAGGTATACATATTAAATGAAACTATGATTTTATCGCCTTTTTATTTTGATTAGAAATTCCCGACGTCTCGCACCCTTTCCAGCGTTCATGGTCACGAGACAAAGTTGTTACACGTCTTGATGTCATAGTTAAACCCAGCTACCGTCAACATACACATATATGTGTACAAAATAATTGATATTTCTTAGTCAGCGTTTTTCAATAAGTAAAAATGTTTTGTAATTATTGTTCTGTCGCTAAAACGCTATCTCCTCAATTTATACTTAAATATGAGCGCCCAAGCGTCTAAAGTCAACGATGTCTAAATAAATAAAAAAAACTATTACGAGCTGTCTGCGAGCCGTCAACAGTATTTTCGAACCGTAACCACGGAGCATAAAAAAGATTTTTAACACGAGGGCATTATCATTTGTTGGAGAGCAACGGAGCAATCCGCGCGGCCGCACGGAAATAGTGGACGAAAAATTTTATGATCCCCGCTGCGAATGTCGCTACGGCACGTTATCCGCGGTGCGGTTTCGGTACCGTACCGACTATTTGTGTAGCCGAATGACGAACATCACTCGAACATGACGTGGGATCCAGCAAATATTTAGAAATAGACGTCCAACGGAGGCCGGAATAATATTTCTGTAATTGATGTTGCTTACCGCAATGAAGCGACCGGACTTTGAATCCAGTGCGATCGTCCGGCGTGTTAGGCATCAAACATATTATATACAAATACGAGGTAGATATTATTACACTATCGCGCCGAAACTGAGACACTCAAATTGCTGCAATTGTTTTTATGGATTAATCTGCTATCTCTTTCCGTATCATATTTTCTATTTTGTCTGTCACGTTCACTTATATATTTCATATAATGCGAAACAATTATTTATCCCTTACCGACCATGGAACATTAGTGGCATCACACTAAAGAATACACTTCCGAAACAATTTTTAAAAGCCGCGCAGTATGGAAATGCGTCATCGACATCTTTATTAAAACATCATGGTAGGCATCTCTCTTGAGAGGTAACATTAATCCGCTTTTAAGCTGGTTAATGTAAACTACGTTTAGTCAAAGCCTGGAAGTCGGTGTGACTAAAAACACTTGGAGCATTGTTCACTGCATTAAACATTTTGGCACAGACTAGAATGCAACGAGAATAGCTAGAAGCTGATAAAAAATAGTACTTTATATTATATAAATATAAATTTATACTTTATATTAGTATATTTCTCACCACTAACGCGTTTCGGCGCAAAATAGCACGATATGGCATCAAAGAAGAAACCAATACACAAACAGATCCAGAGACATTTCAATTAGGATATAATCGTGGGTATAACCTAACTGATCAATGATAAGCTTCATTGATTATTTTTCACTGAATTCATGGCGGCGGTGCCATACCCGGGGAAATAGTCGGTTTTCTCATGAAATATGCGGCAACAGTGTACAGAATTAGATCTATCCTTGCGCCCAACATCTCCACAGATACTGGAACACTGTGCTACATTGAATTCGCTATTTTGGAATCACATAATATCATAACGCTCCGTGCATTTAAAAATAATCCGAATTCCCCAATATACAATTCAGAAAAACAAGTTTTCTTTCGATATCAAGAAATTCTTTCACTATCAATATTAAAAGAAATTCTTTAATATCTGTAATTTGACAGATAATGGGATGTGAGAGAGTTTGTAAATTGCCCACTTTAATGCGGCACATCCATGGACGTGGAAATTACATTTCATCATTGTGCAAACATATTTCTTTTAAGTTCATATTTCCTTCAAATTGCCTATTAGTCGCCGCACAGCAATTCGAATTCTGAATACTCAATGAAGAGTTAATTCAGTATACGCCATTTTACTCTTCGATGACTCCGTGGCGCCGTTGCCAAGGTATCGGCTTCGGCGTCGGAAGTCGTGGGTTCGATTCCCACACGGGACAACTATTTGTGCGACCCACAGATAGTTGTTTCGCATCTGGGTGTTTGTCCTCGTGCAATTTATGTTTGTAAAACGTCCTTACAACACAGGATAATGTTATCCTAAAGTGGGGGCAATGTTTTAAAAAAAAAAAAAAAAAAAAACAAAAAAAAATTACCACAAAGTTATACCAAATGACTAATTAATACGATGGTTTTGGTGAGCTGAATTTGACCACATTTATCGTTCGTTTCGTACCGAATCAATCACTTTTTCGTTGAAGTCCAAGAATTTCTTCTGTCTGTCTGCATACCACTTCGCGCCAACGCTGACGATTTCCAGTTTGATTTATAACCGAGGCTTCTCACTTGACTGTCATCTCCAATCGCAACACTTACGAGTTCGCATCGGATATTTGATGCGATTTGGCAGAGTCGACGGTCTTTTTAGCGAATATTGCAATCGGTTCCCGCGCGTTGCACGGTCATTTTATTACGCACGATACATTAATATACATTTCGGAACAATCTGAACACAGCTGTGGTTATATTTAAATGTGAAAATTGTAATTTACGACGCGTCGGCCTTTCCGTCGGAATTCAATGTGGATGTGTTCTACGCAAAAGTAAAATGGCGTATACTGAATTAAAGCCGGTTTCAATATTCTATCTATCTTCGTTCTATCGATTCGATTACTAGCTATGGGTATTTTACATTAGCTCCATAATACAATTACGTTAAAATTGTACCCAAATCTACAGACTTTTGCTTTAAGTCCCGAGACTATTACAGCTACGGCTTGACCGTTATCGACTTCGCTGTTCATAAAAGTAGTTACTATTTTTTTTTAATTTGAAAGCGCCGTAGGAAAATCAAAAGGATTTCTAAGTCGATCAAACGTTCTAAATTACAAAGTGTATGCTGTTGAAAGTGAAATATAGTTCAAAATATTCGAGTACAGGAAACGACTCCACTAAAACAGAAGCGTCAATCGTTTTAACAAATGTTTGCTGAACAATTTCTGTTAATATTAACGCGAAGACTGTACATTTTCAATCCACTATTTTTATCAATTGTTGTATATTTTCTTTTTATATTTGTATTAATCTCCACTGTAAAAGCGGTAGAATTGAGTAAGACTAGAAAAAAAACCTTCCTTAAAAACGCACTTAACGATTTATCGTCCAATTAATAGCAGCTGGATCGTTATTACCGCGCCTATAAAACAACCCGAGTACTCATTAAACGAAAATCGAGACACGTAAAATAACATAGAGCCGATATTTAAATTTCTCCGTGGAAAACGAAACGTACATAGGAATCAATCGATCAAACAGCACTCATTCACTAAACTGCGATTGCTACGATTGCATTTTTATGATATAAGATTTTTTCATTAATCTTTATTAATTTTAACTCGACCAGAAGTATTTTTAAAAAAAACTTATTTGAAAATATTTCTAAAATATAAATTGTTTAGAACTTTTTATATACCACATAGTTATGTGAGTATTCTTGACTAGCTGTTATCCGCGGCTTCACCCGCGCGGCCAGAGGGAATTAACAATGAGTTTTTTAATATACACTACACTGACACTCATTACCTATATTTTGTACAATTCACACGATATCTTTATATATTATAGCCCATGTGTTATTCTGATGCATGTGTTATGCTGAGCTATATTATTGTAAAGTTTCATTGAATTCTAGTTTTTGTTTGAAAGAGTAACAAACATCCATCCACACATACAAACTTTCGCCTTTATAATATTAGTAAGGAAGTAAGGATTATGCCTAAAACATTTGGTCACCGTAATACACTGAACATAGATATTTTTTATAGGATATAATCTACCCAAAAAACACATAAAATTTTCTTTTATGAAATATGTAAAAAGTTTTGATGTTTATGTAAATATTTATTGCGCAAACTAAAAAATCCTATATCTCGGAATAAATTACAATTACATTATGGAATGATCTTAAAGAAATTTTTACGATTCGTATTTCACAATTCGTGCCGGCATTTTAAATTTAGCATTTATGTTATATCAACAAAATATTTTTTACTCTCCGGCACTATTCTAATTATAAATGGAATCACTCTCGATTACAGTGCATTGCCTGTCTATTTTAATCCGAAATCATATTTACTTGTGGTAGTTCATCCCGTTATTTTGATTTAAGCAATTTTAAGGTATTATTTATAACATATAATTGTATACATGACTTTTTTTTTCTAAATAGCTAATTAAGTTAAAATTTTTATGAAAAGGAATTAAACTATTTCGGTATTAAAGTAATTCGATTCGCATCAATAAATCGATATTGAACATCACATTTTATTTAAATATGTTTTTGACCAAAACTGAATGTTAACTAGGATCTAAGGCCTTAGGTTAGTCCAATGCTAAATCACCTATCATTTCGTGAAGAAAATTACAGCTAAAAACTTTAGCAATACCAAAATTGAGTTAACTTTCCGAGTCCAATGTACTCTCAAACCTTGAATGGATAATGGGCAGGGGGCCACACGTTACAACACCTCAGAACATTCCCGAGTAGAGTAGCCAGAGGCTGGCCAGGAGGAGCACCAGGATGAGGTAGGTGGCGATGAGGCTGGTCGTCTCGTGGTTCGGCATCTCTCCGCTGGCGCCGGCCTGTGCACTTGACAAGTTGCTCCAGAAAACTGAGGGGACCGCGAGCTTTCGGGCGACAACCGCCCACGCGACGCCACGCCCCTTTCGCACCAAACATCATCCAAATTTATAAATATGAACGTACAATAATAGAATCATCGCTTGACAAGCGCCTCCTGGAATGGGACATTGCAGCGCCGCCATGGATGACCTGATGGAAGACGACGATAACCAACGGACCTCAATCATTTACAGGAATCGAATATTTTATTCGATTCCTGTAAAACGCTACCCGATTCATCCTTAACAAGACTCAGCAACCGAATCGAAGGGTAACTATTGAGTACTGTCGATACACTGTCCTATTGCGAACTGACGAACAAGTTTATTAGCAACAGATGACGCACATTGTTAAATGATGGTTTTGGAAGCACGAGATTTGCACAAGAGTTCCTCACATAAATTAGGAAGGCTTAAACGTGGTGAAATAGAGTGTAGTCCTCCGAACAAGCCTTTAGCACCGAGCAGACAAACTTACGCGCCCGGCAGACTGCGTCCCCCGTTAGAAGACCGTCGAATAGAACAGCCACAGCAGGAAGAGCAGGATGACCAGGATCATATAAGTCGCGGCCAAGTTAACGGTCTCCGCGTTGATAGCCATGGTTGCAATGTAGCGGAGCGGGCGCGACTGAACGGCCGGGGACCTCACGCGTCCCGGCACGGACTAGCGCGTCACAGGACTGGGCCAGACTCGGCCGAAGAAGGATCCTCCGATATTATATGATCATACAATTGTCCTTTTAGTTCCCAAAATTGGCTCAATTCGGGAATTTACAACGTTATGCTCTCAAATAAAAGTTAATAAATGAGGTGCTTTAGTAACAGTTTGCCACGAGTTTTGGCAAAATTAAAATATCAGTAGAAAGCGCACGAAACTCGGAATAACAAGTTATTCGTAAGATAAAAATATTTGAAAATCATCCATTATATCCCAATTGGCCATTTTATGTAAAACGAAAACAACTGACGAGCAGAAAATAAAAAAAAATCTGCATTACTAGAACAACAAATGATCGAGATGACAACATTGAAGATGATCGCGTTAGATATATTTGACGCGCGAACGGATTTATTGACGCCGCGGGGACTTGTCTTTTTATCTGACAAATACTAGGGGCTATTGAGTTTGACAGCAGTTATGTCGAGTCGCCTAATAGGCCGTCGCGACCAAAATATGATGTTGGAGGCTCCATTAAGCTTTCCAGCAGTTACCTTTAAATCATTAATATCAAATGTTTATCGCAAATATATTTACGCCTAGCATTTTTTTAAATATGATCTAACAAAGTGGTAAGGTGTTTAGCTGATGGCAATTACCGCAGTTTTACACCATCTACGGTCTCACCATATATCGATTACTTAGTATGGCCATGCCTACCTAGGTAGATTACTGCATGAGTTAACTTCATCTAAAGTTACTTACGGCTATTAGAACACCGAATACAACATCCACAGGGCTACCAGCAACAGCAGGAGTATGCAGTAAGTGGCAGCCAGGCTCTTCCCCTCAGAAGCGTGGTCGATCATTTTAATGTAGTCTCAGTAGCTGTTCAGTTGCAACTGAGTGCGATCGGCGCATATGACACGTACAGGGGACAACTTCCAACAACATTCTATTTTCTTTTTGGCCTCGCATTCGGATAAGTCGTGCGTCGCTGCGATCTGTTGTCGGATTTGTTATTTTGTTTTTTTATCTGAACGCTACGGCAATGTCAAGCGGATGTCACGGGAGCGTCCACTGAAATTGCGCGGGGCGAGGCGATAGTGGCAGTTATTGTATGATGCCAGTTTCTGTAGAGGTCGATTGATATGGATTTTCGGTCCGTTGAATCCGCCTCTGTCGATTCGTTTCTGGAGAGTGATAAGCCGCGCTATTTTCGCCCCACTGGAGTATCGGCCGTGAAGATTTTAAACTACAATGCACAGTCTGTGCGTTAACGCAGTTTTTCCAGCAGATTTTCCGATCGCCGAGCTGATTTCAATTCTATTCGTGTTGAAATAGAACACAATGATTATTTGATGTACAAACATTGATGTGGAAGTTAAACATAGTATATTTTGTTGAAGTGTCTTGAAAAAATAGAAGAAACATTGGTAATTTTGCATTAGTAGATAGTATTAAGTATTTATAATGAAAATATGATAGAGTTGTAGAAGCTGCTACAAATCTTTAATAAGGAAAAATACCTCTCATGTTTATGTGTTACTGCTGTTGATTCGGACTAAACCCTTGACTGAATTCCTGGCAACCGTCATCATGTGTCACTCCTCGCTTATAACGATTACAGTAGGCCCACGATTTGTTTCTGGCCTTTCAATGCCATTCTACACTGCCAATACGCGAGAAATGCGTGTAAACATTCGAATTTAGTTGCTTATTGACAGTATCTGAACGCTGCCGGCGAGCGCTACATTAAGCCTTATAATGTATATTATCGGATATTCGCATGATTTTAAGTTTTATTTTAATGTGAAAAGTTGCCAAACGAGCAGACGGTTCACCTGATGGTAAGTGAATACCGCCGCCCATGGACAACTGCTACACCCGAGGGTTACAGAGGCGTTGACAACCTTTTGAGCTCCGGCTACCTCACTCACCAGACAAAACGCGAAAGTATTTGTCATACTTCCACATTACGCTGGTCTTCTGTGAGGTCGTGGTACTTACCCGAACGGGCCCATTCGTGCAACAGCCGAGGCTGCTGCGTGGCCCTACCACCGTTGTGCAACAGCCGAGTCTTATTGCGGTGGCATTTCTACTTCTAAATACACCATTCAATTATTCTTACTCTCTAGCTACATATGCTATAAACTTAAACGGACTAAACACAATGACAAATGTACATATCTGCTTTATAGACTTCTCTAAAACTCTCACATATTATGCTGAAATATCGTTTTTGATAATATTTTCCCAAAGATTCCTTATTATGGCGCACAGTGCCGTGCAAACGTAATTTCCTTTTTTAGCCAAGATAAATATTTATTCATGAAATAACTATTTTCTTTGTTACAAGAAACAAGAAGTGCCTATGTTCGCGAATTTAATTTTACGTTCCACTCGACAGATCCGGAAGTATAATATACGCGTCATGCCTAATCCGTCTATTATAAATATAAATCATATTGTATTCGTTGGTTTCTCCTCTTTCAAGTTGCAACGGAACAAAGAATTAACGTATTTTATTGCATTGAGATCGTTTATGGGTGAACGTGACATAAGCTATTTTTTTAAATAGCTGAATTTCGAACTGCACCGAAAATTTGGCGTTTACGTTCATGTAAACGATAAATTTTCGGTGACTCATGATGATCTTCGAAATCAAAGCTCGGTAAAGAATTGATTTATTATTTAGAACTATATATATTTTTTAATATAGAACTGATTTTTCTCCATGTATATTTTGTACTCGTATATAATGCCCGTGAATAGTACCGACGGACTGCAACGAAATGTTAAGATATTTTTGTGATTTTTCCATTCCCCATAAGTTCATTTGCATTACTTCTTTCGTAGCATTAGTTTTAATCTTGACTAAAGACGTTGGATTTCAAAATTAAATATAGGCGTAATGAGGAAATTATATAAAAATCGAAACCTTGTCCTAACTCATTATTGTCTACGGAACATGTGCACATTTATATTTATAGAAGTGCGAAGTAAATATATTTTCATTTGTTTATTTACGGCACTGTCGCTCTTGGCATCCAAGCTGCATTAATTAGTAACCCAATAATGACTCTCGATTTCATTTGTGGCGGGGCAGAAAATGGCAGGCATCCGGTGTTCTTATGCCAAAACGGAACAGGTATAACGCGCGCACAGCCAGAGAGAAAACAAAAACACAAATGAGCGTCGAAGTGATATAAATAATCGTATGAGTTTTCAGAAGAATTTCTATTTTAAATAAATAAATGATTGGACATTTCTCTCTCGCGCGCTGAGTCGCTGACAGGCCTCGTTTGTTTACTCTGTGTTCTATAAATACTTGAGGAATGCGTTCTGTATTTAAAAAAACAACGTAAAGTCCCTTAACGCTCGCGCATTTCTCTGTTTTCATTGAATAAGAGTTGAGGCAATACGCTGCCACGTGATAAATGCGGTTTTGGGCGGTTGGATGACCTTAAGAATGTTTATTAAAACAAAATGACTATTTGTCGACCTTACTTCTGACCTGATGACTAGGCATTCAGCAACGACGTCTTCGTCTTTGTTTGATATTGTTCTAGTTTTAAGTCTATAGGGCTGTATAGATATTATTTTATTATATAGTATAAAACAAAGTCGACCCGCTGTCTGTCTGTCCATATGTATGCTTAGATCTTTAAAACTACGCAACGGGTCTTGATGCGGTTTTTTTTTACTAAATAGAGTAGATTACGATTAGTTTGTTAGATTCACGAGGAAGGTTTATATGTATGAAGCATTCCACCCGTGTGAAGCTGGGGCGGGTTGCTAGTATTATTATAATATAGCTCATTTTTTATGTTTTTTGTTAAGACTGCAATTTTGGCAATTTTCGGTTGAGGCTCGTTAAGGCTGAGTTAGTTAATTGGCTAGTTAGTTAATCAATTACTGAAAGTAGATGCCTTTCTGGACAGCTCATAAGAGCTCATGTTTTTTTATGATAGTGTTTGCTGTTAGTCCGGCTTGGACAGTACCCTTCAGCTACTCTTTATGTCTCTTTTAGATTAAAATAGAATATACTTTATTGCACACAACAGAATATCTATATAATAATAGGCATCACTGTGGTGGCACCATGTAACAGTGTTCGCTGTTGCATGAATGGGCAGATCCAGGGTAAGTACCACGACCTCACAAAAGACCGGCGTAAAATAGAAGTGTTACAACTTCTGCGTTACGTCCGGTGAGTGAGGTAACCGGGGCCCACTTTATTTAAAAGTTGTGCGTTTACAACCCTACGGGAGTTACAAATGTCCATGCGGTTATCACTTAACATCAGGTGACCCGCCAGCTCATTTGCCACTTTCTCACATAAAAAAAACAAGGAAATACACAGAAATATCATACATGAAACATAATGTACATATAGCCAGCCGGCTTTATTGCTAAGATAACAATTTAGCAAGCAACCTTAACCTTTTTTCCTTTGTTTTTGTTTGCCTCTCACGTAACTATGAATATCTGAAATAAAGACTCAGTTGTCCTCTATTCTCAATGGTCGGAAATATGAGACCTACATTACTTTTAACAATTTTTGTACAAATTTTAAAGTTTTTTATAGTGCTAATCCCTGCACTTAAGATTGAACATTAAAACATGTAGAAAAAGTACGAAAAGATTGTCGCCGCTGTGGGAATCGAACTGACGTCTTCGGCATTCGTCGCTGTGGCTTAGCCACTTTATCAGCCGTTTAGCTCAGTGGCTAGAGCGTCAGGCCGCGAATGCCGAAGACGTGGGTTCGATTCCCACAGCGGCGACAATCTTTTCGTACTTTTTCTACATGCTTTAATTTATGTACATTTAATAAATTTTCCAATACCTTACTCACTACTACAACTTAATCATCGCTAACGGCACACGGCAATGCCATAACCACACTATTTATAAACATCCTATGTTTTCTACTGAAAACCAAGGCAGTTAGAGGCGCCTCATAAGTTCCGGTATGAGTTTTATTTCTATTTATTAATTTAGTCTTAGGTTGAAATTTCATTTAGGGCCATGAACTTGATTAAACTTATTTCTTTTTTTGA